GTCAACATCTTCAGTAGTCACTACAGGCTTGTCAACAACTTCAGTAGTCACTGCAGGCTTGTCAACATCTCCTGTAGTCACTACAGGCTGGTCAACATCTCCAATAGTCACTACAGGCTTGTCAACATCTTCAGTAGTCACTACAGGCTTGTCAACATCTCCTGTAGTCACTACAGGCTGGTCAACATCTCCTGTAGTCACTACATGCTTGTCAACATCTCCTGTAGTCACTACAGGCTTGCCAACTTCTCCTGTAGTCACTACAGGCTGGTCAACATCTCCTATAGTCACTACAGGCTTGTCAAAATCCCCATAAACACTCCAGCCATGTTAACATCCTCTCCAGAAGACACTAAGGGCTACTTAGAGACTGAATCACAGAACACATCCTATAAGACACGATGTCAGTGAGATCTACCTTGCAACCTGATACCTAGACACAAGACTCCATTAGCACAAACAAACAGCTGTAGACTAGAAACCGGCCTTCCCATTAGATAATCTGCATGGACCAGAAACGAGGCTTCTCATTACATAATCTGTATGGACCAGAAACGAGGCTTCTCATTAGATAATCTGTATAGAACAGAAACGAGGCTTCTCATTAGATAATCTGTATAGACCAGAAACAGGGCTTCTCATTAGATAATCTGTATAGAACAGAAACAAGGCTTCTCATTAGATAATCTGTATAGACCAGAAACGAGGCTTCTCATTAGATAATCTGTATAGACCAGAAACGAGGCTTCTCATTAGATAATCTGTATAGACCAGAAACGAGGCTTCTCATTAGATAATCTGTATAGACAAGAAACGAGGCTTCTCATTAGATAATCTGTATAGACAAGAAACGAGGCTTCTCATTAGATAATCTGTATAGACCAGAAACGAGGCTTCTCATTAGATAATCTGTATAGACCAGAAACGAGGCTTCTCATTAGATAATCTGTATAGACCAGAAACGAGGCTTCTCATTAGATAATCTGTATAGACAAGAAACGAGGCTTCTCATTAGATAATCTGTATAGACAAGAAACGAGGCTTCTCATTAGATAATCTGTATAGACTAGAAACAGGGCTTCTCATTAGATAATCTGTATAGACCAGAATCGAGGCTTCTCATTAGATAATCTGTATAGAACAGAAATGAGGCTTCTCATTAGATAATCTGTATAGACCAGAAACGAGGCTTCTCATTAGATAATCTGTATAGACTAGAAACGAGGCTTCTCATTAGATAATCTGTATAGAACAGAAACGAGGCTTCTCATTAGATAATCTGTATAGACCAGAAACGAGGCTTCTCATTAGATAATCTGTATAGAACAGAAACGAGGCTTCTCATTAGATAATCTGTATAGACTAGAAACGAGGCTTCTCATTAGATAATAGATAATCTGTATAGAACAGAAACGAGGCTTCTCATTAGATAATCTGTATAGACAAGAAACGAGGCTTCTCATTAGATAATCTGTATAGACAAGAAACGAGGCTTCTCATTAGATAATCTGTATAGACAAGAAACGAGGCTTCTCATTAGATAATCAATATAGACTAGAAACGAGGCTTCTCATTAGATAATCTGTATAGACTAGAAACGAGGCTTCTCATTAGATAATCTGTATAGACAAGAAACGAGGCTTCTCATTAGATAATCTGTATAGACCAGAAACGAGGCTTCTCATTAGATAATCTGTATAGACTAGAAACAGGGCTTCTCATTAGATAATCTGTATGGACTAGAAACGAGGCTTCTCATTAGGTAATCTGTATGGACCAGAAATGAGGCTTCTCATTAGATAATCTGTATAGACCAGAAACGAGGCTTCTCATTAGATAATCTGTATAGACAAGAAACAGGGCTTCTCATTAGATAATCTGTATAGACCAGAATCGAGGCTTCTCATTAGATAATCTGTATAGAACAGAAATGAGGCTTCTCATTAGATAATCAATATAGACTAGAAACGAGGCTTCTCATTAGATAATCTGTATAGACTAGAAACAGGGCTTCTCATTAGATAATCTGTATAGAACAGATACGAGGCTTCTCATTAGATAATCTGTATAGACAAGAAACGAGGCTTCTCATTAGATAATCTGTATAGACAAGAAACGAGGCTTCTCATTAGATAATCTGTATAGACAAGAAACGAGGCTTCTCATTAGATAATCTGTATAGAACAGAAACGAGGCTTCTCATTAGATAATCAATATAGACTAGAAACGAGGCTTCTCATTAGATAATCTGTATAGACAAGAAACGAGGCTTCTCATTAGATAATCTGTATAGACAAGAAACGAGGCTTCTCATTAGATAAACTTTAACTCCTGCTTGATGCAGAACAAACTCTCCACTTTAGAAGTTCATTACAAGGCTAACATTACACCAGATAACGACATAACATCTGATGATACGATCCTATTGTTAGAGGTGAACTATACCTCCAGATAGGTATAGATAGACTTATATGTTCCCAATATTACTAAGATCTCATTATGTATAAATGAGAACTTTCTATGAAGTTACCTAAAGAGCAATGCTTTAATTTTCAATATAAGATTTTAAAAAGATATAAAGCAGTATATTTTAAATATATGTCGCATAAAACCTCCAGAACAAAGAAAATGAAAGCTATATATATATCTCACCATAATGTTTGGTTTACAAATGGGACGGATAAAGGGTGTCACATGATTGTTTATACATCCATTCCTAAACATATATTAGTTATACTTAATATAACATAAACTTTTAAAATTAGTTCATATGTTTTTTGGATAACATAAACAGCTGGATACAAGACTAGCATTGAGAACATATTGAATACAAACTGAGATACTATAGTATAACATCCTTCCTACAGAAGTAACTGAAGTGCTGGAAAATGTCCTAACACTGTCTATTAAGTGGAATTAACCCATTGCTATTGCTAATTAAATCAGTTAAAAGTCAAGAGGAGCAGTTCAATCTAATCAGATTTGATTACTGGCAATGTTTGCCGCATATCAGGTTAATGGTAACAATTAGCGATATAGCTGAGTTACTGTCATCTATAACTCAAAATATTTCTAGAATTCCAAAGAAATATTTGTGACTTACTTGTCTGTCCCCCTCATCTCAGTTATCTACCAACCAATTACCATATTCCTCAACTTCTTGGTACATATGTGTAACTTGAAACAAGCTGTTTACAAGTTGATAACAGCTGACCCCTAACCTGGGTGGACGTGACTCATTGAACATGTCTGATTGTCCTCTCTCCATCCCAGCAGGCTACTGGCCAAGTACCATGACCTTTAACCTCAATTCAATAATCACTGATTTATTATACAGCATAAGTTGTTTGAAGAAACATGTCCTTTGCTTTTTGAAGAGGTTATAAAAGCTAGCTATAATACAGAAACTTTCAGGCATTTTGAGAAACATTCTCAAATCAGGTTTGGCATACCTTCAGATCATTAAATATAAAAAAGCAATTCAGAGCTCAAACATGCTCAAAGTAAATAAAATAGCTAAGCCATGCATGTCAGATCCAATATCAACTTCCTACAGCTAATTACCTACTGTCTAGAGATGTCCAATCAGAATACAGTATTGGGTGTCCAATCAGAATACGGTAGTGGATGTCCAATCAGAATACAGCAAAGAGTGTTCAACTGGCACAGAACTCTTCTAGCCTTTCATTGTTACCCATGGTAACATCATTACTATCTGTTCTCACCAGTAAATTCTCACTGTTACCATGACACTACATCATTACTATCTGTTCTCACCAGTAAATTCTCACTGTTACCATGACACTACATCATTACTATCTGTTCTCACCAGTAAATTCTCACTGTTACCATGACACTACATCATTACTATCTGTTCTCACCAGTAAATTCTCACTGTTACCATGACACTACATCATTACTATCTGTTCTCACCAGTAAATTCTCACTGTTACCATGACACTACATCATTACTATCTGTTCTCACCAGTAAATTCTCACTGTTACCATGACACTATATTGATATATGTTCATATTGTTGCTTACAACACATTTCTTTTCTAATTTCATCAAAATGCATCAGACAACAACAGCATTTAGAAGTTAACTAAAATCTGTTGTGTGGAACTTTCAGGGATGTCTAGAATTGCTGGGAGTTAATGTCTGTAGGTTTAAATAATGAGCAAGCAGCCATGCTGTGAACTATCTACTGCTATATCATGCTGACCTGTAGTTAGTGATCAACAATGCCGCTATGGTACCATACTCAAATTACTTCTCAGTGACAAGTTGCCATGGTTACCATATTCAAATTACTTCTCAGTGACATGTTGTCATAGGTACCATACTAAAGTTACATCTCACTGAAAAGTTGCCATGGGTACCATACTCAAATTACTTCTCAGTGACAAGTTGCCATGGGTACCATACTAAAGTAACATCTCACTGACAAGTTGCCATGGGTACCATACTCAAATTACTTCTCAGTGACAAGTTGCCATGGGTACCATACTAAAGTCAGTGACAAGTTGCCATGGATACCATTATAAGATAACTACTATTAGAAATAACAGTTGCTCTGGGTACCATTATATTATGAATATTTCTCAGGGATATTATTGCGGTGAAGTACAATTGTTAGGTTGTTTCTCAGTGACTTTGTGATGAGGTTATGTGACATTGCTGCAATGAAGTATTTGGGTCAATTCTCAGTGAACTTCTCACTATATAAACCATTGCTAAGTCAAGATTATTTGCTGTTAATGTTAATTCAACTGGCAACGTATGTATACATATACTGTGTTTATATTTAGAGTGCAATATAATAAATACAGAAAAATGAAAGTAAGTGCTTATTTTCATTGTTTCAGGAAACAAAATGCACAAAAAGGCAGTTTTGGCAAAATCAAACACCTGTTCTAGATTGTGTCTGCAAAAACTTTGAAAATACAGAGGATATCACACCAATGCATGAAGTTTTTGTAATAAAACCTTTCTCATACCATGTCTCAGACAAGGGTACCAACAGTCAACATATCCTCTCTCCTGGCAAATACAAAAAAAAACACCAAAATGGCTATGTACATATGGATGATTCTGTCTCAACAACCACCTACCTACACTGATAAGTGAATTCCTCTCAAACTTTTTTCAATATCATCAAGAACTAAAATGCAACAAATTCATTGCTATAGTATATAAGTGACAAGAATTGAGGGTATCATTAATGTAGAGACAACAGGGTACCATCACAAATTCTGACTAGATCTTTTCGCATGATATATATTTCTCAAATATATATACTTTATGTACAGAATTTCTGACTCTTAGTCATTTCTTTGTCTGATTGAATGTGATAAATGGAATATTAAAGAGAGTACAATGTATGTGTATTATCCACCCTGTGACTTGTTATAGTAAAACTAATGGCACTAAAGATATTGAAGACAAAATCATATATAAAGTACATGGAAAATGAAAGTTGATTAAAATCAGAACCATCAAGTCCTTAATAAATAATTAAAGCAGTAAAAATTACATAAAAATCAAACAAAACAAACAACTTATATTCACAGATCAAAGCTTATTATATGTAATCAGTACAACAGTCTTTTAAGAAAAACAAGTGTATAATTTTATATATATATAACAGTGTACATTAGCGATTCATTGACAAAATTACAAGTTATCCTTTATAATTTAGTATAGCAAGGGCACCAGACAATTGAGAAAACATAATACATAGAGGTTTAAACAAGAGTTCAAGTCTTCTGAATAACTCTCTCTTTACATAAAATGTTTATACAAAAGTCCTTGAAATTTCACCCTTTTTCTTATGTTTGCCATTGGTCTTAAATCTTAAACTGACACTATAACATTATAATTATTCACAGATTCTGTAGGACAAATTTTCGGGAAGAGTTACTGCTATATTCTCTATAGGGTCAAAGAATAATTATTCCTGGTACAATAATATATTGTGCTGAATTTGGTAAAAAATCACAAACTCATTCCAGGCTAGTGAACACTTTGATGAATTGATAAATGATACAATATAAGCTTTCATCCTTTTGGTGAGAGAGAAAAAGCCATGATTAAAAACTATCTGTTACTTTGTACATTTTGCTGTAGAGTTGAGATACGATTGATGTCCGACAACCTCTACCGTAAATGCTTGTAATAAACAACACTGTTGATAAGGAACTTTTATACATCAGTAATTTTTCAGACATCTTAACCCTGTCAGCAATTACTTCAGGAGAGTTATTGAAAATGATTGGAAATATGGATTTCAGAAGTCCTTAATACTGACACATCTCAAAAACAGAAGCTGAACAAAGTAAATGCAATGACACTGCTAAACTTACCCAGAAACCGTAACCAACATGATAATTCAACATGAATTAAGCCATAGAAATGTTACTATATAATATATAGAAATCTGTGTTTCCTGATTACACAACTTACATGGTCCTCTGATGCACAGACCTGAAATCCATGATTCTTGCAGAAATACTTAGTAATGCTTTGTTTGGTTATAAATACAGTTATATTTAGTAAATAAATATATTCATCCCTATTCTATACAAATTAGTAACACACCGTCAAATCCAGTTGGTATTTGTTTGGCAAGTGGACTGTTTAAACAATGTTTACATGTCTTAGGTATGACCGCTGACCCAACAGCTAGCAATTGTGAGTGTTCTAGCTTTATAAACATGCAGTGTTTTCTACTAGCAATCAGCATGCAGTGTAATGTGATAATATTGGATAATCTGTTGTTGATCTACATCAATATATATATATATATATAGTTAGTGTAAAGAAGTACCACTCTACCAACATGTACCTGTGCCATTAGTTAATCAGTCATTTTCCGTATTGATATCAAAAAGAATTTCAGTCATATAAAACCTTCCTCACATTATAGCACTTAGGACTTCAATCTCTCATCTTTCATCAACGTTCATCAATCAATTACTTTCTATTTTCACAGTGATTAATAATTATTGCACTATCCTTGTTCTCACAAAACTCTCACTCAGATAATGTCATACTCTACATGTTGATTTTGATAGATAGCGGCACGGTAACTGTACCTATCAGACAGGGAGCGTTGCACCGGTCGTTTCTGTACGACTTTCATCTCATCTGTCTGTCCATTCTCCTCATCCTCCCCAATGACAGTCTCTACCAGGGAAGGCTCCAGCTCTGGGTAGGTAGTCATACGGGACTGGAGTAAGTAAGTGTAAGTCTTGTACCGCTTCAACTGAAAAAAAAACAAAAATACAAATAGTTTATGTCGTTTTTTGAACTGGAAGAGGTGAATATACAACAAAGACAGTCTGACCAAATAAAATGTTGTGGTTATTACAAATATTAAGTCAGACAACTTAAACAAGAGGCCCAATAGGCCTGCACCATTTACCTGACACTCAAGTGTTGTTTACCAACACCCTTTAAAATTGAGACAAATAAGATGGGCCACAGTCAAATTGATTTAACTGCTAAAATTTTGAAAATAGGTTAAATTGTTATTTTTTGAACACATCATTGAAATTTTAGGCTTGAAGGCAATTATCATGTTTCTTTCTCTTTTTGGATTTAGAAGATATTTGATCATTTAGCCTCTGTGACAAACAATACAAACCAAAGTCATTCAAGGTTAAAATTGGTAACCTTTGTGTTAGCATGCTACAGGCCCAATATCAGCACTCTCGGCCTCTTGGTTATTAAGATAAACTTGATACAAAATAAGACATTTGACCCTTGTGACCTTGAAAGAAAAGGTAATTAACATGAATAAACTCTGTAGCCCTTCATAGCCCATCATCATAGCCCATCATCATAGCCCATCATCATAGCCCATCATCACAGCCCATCATCACAGCCCATCATCACAGCCCATCATCACAGCATGCTATTAACCAATGCCTCTTTGATATTGATCACAAGTTGCTTAAATATCAGTACCTTAAGCCTCATGGTTATTCAGAAGATGTTTTAAAGATGTTTAACTCATTTAATCCCTGTGACCGTGAAAGTGGGTGAAAGATATTCATTTGAACAAAGTCAGTAGCCCTTCATCCCTGCTTGCTATAGGCCGGATATCAGTATCCACAGCTTCTTGGATATTGAGAAGAAATTGCTAGAAGGGGAAATGTTGATGCTGAACAGATAACGGATGCTAGATGACATAGTGCAGTCTGGCCTTATGGCCACCATATTTTGACTTGTATATACGCTGTATTCTACACTATAACCAAAGCTCACTTGACCTTTGCCCAGGTGAGCTAAGGAATCAATATAAGCTGAGGTTCACATAGAGTTTACATATATACTCTTTTTGGATCGAAGAGATCGGGGCATATTGTTTTTGTGCTGTTTGTTTTTCTGTTGTCAACTTAACTTTGCCCATAACTATTGCACTGTAAGAGGTAGGGCTTACATATTTGGCATGTGTGTTCCTTGTGACAAGACCTTTTTGGTGGTACCAAACGTTTGAACAATGTGACCTTGACTGTGACCTATGACCGACATTTGAAAAATTTTAACACTGGCAATAATAACTATTGCATCATACAAGGTAAGGCTTTTATATTTTGCATGTGTGTTCCTTGTGACAAGACCTTTCTGGTGCTAATAAAATTTTTGACCATGTGATTTTAACTTCTAGCAACCAGGAGCATGGTGTTTCATAAACACATCTTGTTCACTATACTCTAGTTGCCTCTAACACCTTTTGTCTTTACTAGCCTGAACTGCTAAGAATATCACATGTAATTAGGAAACAATCAATTATGACTCTCCTAATTTCATCATGTGACTTGAATAGAGAAACAAAACAGCATTTTGCACATTCTATCTCCAAATAGCAAAAAATTAAGCAGGAAACAGCGAGAGCTAAATATATCAATGTGAAACATTGTGCAAGTAGCTTAGATCAAAATTACAGTCAGTGAATACCTCACTCTCCAGAAAGCTTTCCTTCTCCAAATAGTCTTGTATAAGGCGGGCCTTGGCACCCTTTTCTGGAGGAAACTGACGATGCTCTTGAAGATCCATCTCTACTTGGGTACACATGACTTCATGGCGTTGCAGTTGGTCACGCTACACAAAGAACAATCAACTAAATGTACACATTTATTTTATAAAGATGTGTCACCTATCGTAACTAGATGTAAACATTTAGTTCTATAGAGATGTGTCACCTATCGTAACTAGATGTAAACATTTAGTTCTATAGAGATGTGTCACCTATCGTAACTAGATGTAAACATTTAGTTCTATAGAGATGTGTCACCTATCGTAACTAGATGTAAACATTTAGTTCTATAGAGATGTGTCACCTATTGTAAATTACCCAATCTGCTTTAAACATACCTAGCATTGCAGCATTTGACATTAGATATTTCCAGTAAAATACATATCTTAATGTCAAGGAACATCATGTTTTATACAGAAATCTCACCCTATAAAATCTCTCTCTCCTGGGCAACTGAATTTTAATCTCATATTCTATAAATTCTCTCCCTCTTGGACAACTTAATTTTGTTCTCACTTTCTATAAAATCTCTCTCTCCAGGTCTACTGAATCTTTATCTCACATTCTATAAAATCTCTCTCCTGGGCTACTGAAATCTTTATCTCACATTTTATAAAATCTCTCTCTCCTGGGCTACTTGATTTTTTATCGCACATTCTATAAAATCTCTCTCTCCTGGGCTACTGAATTTTATCTCAAGTGAATCCCAACTATACATATTGAAAGTGATATCTAATCTAGTGAATATGAAAGTGTACTTACAAGATTAAATTTGGTGTAGGTAGCTGGTAACAATGGCCGCTGGAACTTCTTTTGTGAGCCCACAGCACCTGGCAGTTGAGGGGACGAAAGGCTGGCCGACACAAAATTGATGGTGTCAATCCATTCCTGGAGCTCACGACTGTCACTGAAGTCAGAACCACAATTCATATGACCTGCTGTTCTTTACAATCCATATATTTTGAGGAAGTTTCACTTTTCTTTAAAGTGTGTAGACATGCCTTCACAGACTTACTTATTCAACACATGTTTTTGAACCTCTATCAGAAATCCTTTCACAATGTTCTCAAATTCATATTGAAAATATATTTTATTATAAACCAACAGTAACAAATACATGTTTTTGTTTCAAATTAAACCACACTTACCTGGTTTGAAACAGATATTCTGCCCCATCTGCAGTGAGAAGCCTAAAGACATGCTGCTTCTTTGTGTAGTCAGTAGCCTTAGAGGCGAGGCAGTGGTGGATGCGTATTGCATTGTTAGAACCCTGTATGAGCTGTCCTTTCTTCATCCCATGTTGGTCCTTATAGAGGTAGAATATCAAATCACGCAGAGAGACATAGTACATCTTCCATCCTCTCTTTCCCAAGGGTGCTGGAAAGAAGCAAATTTATCAGGTGAAAATATACAACATAGATACTTCTTACACAGATGGCTTTTTCTCCTCTGACTGTTTAAACTGGAAATTTGTTGTAGAATACTAATGTACAAATATATCAACTAGAATTAATGGAATTTAACAAATACTACCATGAACTCACAGGTGACTCTTCACTGAAGACAATACCAAATAAGTCAGAAACACACTTAACTTTTTAAAGTATGTTGTTGAATATCAGAAAGATCAACCATATACGATGATTTATGTATAACATTATCTAAATGAGAATTCAAGCCTACAAATAAGGATAAACCAAATGTACGAAGTATCAACACACATTTTTGTTTGGATACAATTATATTCATATCCTGATTCTTTGCTTGCATTTTATCTAAGAATTACAACTATTGATAAAACTTACTTCTTCTCCTGTCTGCTTCCATGCAGCATTTTCTCATCACATAGCCATTTTTATATTCAGTGGCTTTGTCTGGGTCAGGTACCTAGTAAAAATAAAAGCCATTTTTATATTCAGTGACTTTGCCTGGGTCAGGTACCTAGTAAAAATAAAAGCCATTTTTATATTCAGTGACTTTGCCTGGTTCAGGTACCTAGTAAAATAAAAGCCATTTTTATATTCAGTGACTTTGTCTGGGTCAGGTACCTAGTAAAATAAAAGCCATTTTTATATTCAGTGACTTTGTCTGGGTCAGGTACCTAGTAAAATAAAAGCCATTTTTATATTCAGTGACTTTGTCTGGGTCAGGTACCTAGTAAAAATAAAAGCCATTTTTATATTCAGTGACTTTGCCTGGGTCAGGTACCTAGTAAAAATAAAAGCCATTTTTATATTCAGTGACTTTGTCTGGGTCAGGTACCTAGTAAAATAAAAGCCATTTTTATATTCAGTGACTTTGTCTGGGTCAGGTACCTAGTAAAATAAAAGCCATTTTTATATTCAGTGACTTTGTCTGGGTCAGGTACCTAGTAAAATAAAAGCCATTTTTATGTTCAGTGACTTTGCCTGGGTCAGGTACCTAGTAAAATAAAAGCCATTTTTATGTTCAGTGACTTTGCCTGGGTCAGGTACCTAGTAAAATAAAAGCCATTTTTATATTCAGTGACTTTGTCTGGGTCATGGTTCAGTGACTTTGCCTGGGTCAGGTAAAAAATAAAAGCCACACACTAGAAAATAAAAGCCATTTTTATATTCAGTGACTTTGCATGGGTCAGGTAAAATGACACACTAGATAATTAACATTCTATAGATTAATATCAAATACAATGACTCTACTATTGTTAATCCTACTGATGATAAGGAAAAATACCTCAAAACACAGAAAGGAACATCAGGGAAATTGTTAAGACCCTATCACTGGATCTGTAAGGAAAAGCTGTGAATTGGTGACATTTAGAGAACTTACATCCAGGAAGGGATTAAAACCTATGGGTGCTGCTGACATTAGAGAGAACTTACATCCAGGAAGGGATTAAAACCTATGGGTGCTGCTGACGTTAGAGAGAACTTACATCCAGGAAGGGATTAAAACCTATGGGTGCTGCTGACGTTAGAGATGTAGCTGTGCGATCCTCCGTTTGACTGTGCTCCTCATCATGGTCATCATCACTGTATAAATAAACAATGGTGTACATAATCAAGCGTGTCAAATTGCTTCTGTAATTTCAAGAAAGTCTCATGTTTTACTGAAATTCATAAATATAATTACTGTATACTTTTTCTTTGATTCAGCAGGGCTAATATCCAGCGAGTGTCTCAGTTGAGACTTTTGGCCACATCCCTCAGGCCCCTGGGTGATGGGCCCCATATAATTTACAAAGCTGGTTCATTTTTTCAATCAGGTTTGAAATTTCATTAAAATAGAATCATGGGTTTTCCAGAAGAAGTCAAAACGGTAAAAAGCTTGTGACCACACGCAGCATGACACTGGACAAAAGGTAATCACAAAAGGTCACCACGAGACTTCTCAGGTGACCTAATTATCAACTTACACTGCCCACTCTATTGGTTCAGCCTTGATATTCTGGTAGATAATTTTGAGCAGCTCTTTTGGAAAGTTTTCACCATCATTGAGCTCTGCCAGATTTTCGATAAACTCTGCACATGTCATTTTTCTACCAATACTCTGAAATATAAATGAGATGTCAGTATCAGAGAGAATATTGGATCTGTCTTCAGTAACCAAGTAGTCACACTTTATACCGTAAAGTCCATGATACAGGAGAGAATCTTGTACAAAGCTGACCTGGCCATGAAGATCTGTCTTCACTTACATAATAGCCACTTTTTATCAAGTTAAGAATCTGTCTTTGATACAGGAGAGAATCTTGTACAAAGCTTACCTGGCCATGAAGATCTGTATTCAGCAACATAATAGCACAAGTAAGTGTATGGCAGGCATCTGCAAAACATTAAACAGATAAATTTAAATACATACCATGACATTACAAACTTACATCAGATTCAGTTGTTTTGTCTCCCTCCATCACACACATAAATCATGAAAAATTACATAGTTGTTATCTTTAGATAATTTATCAAATACGATCTACAACATTTGATAAAGTTGTATTACCTTCAGAATTATAAATGCCTTGATTACTTTCCATATATCGTTTGGAGAAGTGAGCTAGCACCCGTTCCCTTTCTTGTGTTTCTCCAATCAGAGAGAACTGCCGTAGGAACTTTCTCAGAGCCATATCAAGAGTATTCTTCTCAAAATCAAAAAACTTGAGATACTCTTCAGATACTAATGCACCAAAATCATTTCTGAAAATAGGAAAAGGACGGTATAAAACAAGGTCTACACACTATCATCATGGCTGGGTGATTGTTACATGCCAATTTAATATAACACTCACATATAGGAGAATAGCAAGTAATGTAATCAGCCCTCATATAAAGTGAAAGTTATTTTTGGTCATTACCTGTATCAAATACAGCTGTCGCTGATACAGAAGTGCTCTTTCTATATATACATGTATGTACACATGGTTGATCAGTACCACTGTCAGAATGTATGTACTGGTTGTAATGTATACTTACTTCTTACTAAGATGTCTCGACACATCAGATTTTTTGAATCCATCCAAGTTATACAGTCGTTTGGCAAGACGCTGTGCTGATGGCCGATCAACACCCTTCGCAAGAGGTTGATAGTCTAAGAGATTAGGATCAAGTGACGGGTCTAATGAATATCTCTGACACTTTTCATCATCTACCTCAGCACTTCCCGTATTATTTTGTGAGCCTTCTAGACAGTTATTATTTACAGCACCATCACCAATCATATCATTGTCCTCTTTGGTTTTGGCTTTTTTCATATGTGCCTCATCCACTAGTGTTATAAACCCAGGTATGAACTCTTTGTCATGGCACTTGTCTCCTTTGTGTTCTGGAGAACTGTCAAGACTTCTGGAGGTTAACATTGCATCTCCCTCCCCGATTCCTTCCAGTGAAGCTGTGGAGTTAGTTGTGCCATGTTGTGGTATTTGATCTAATGAGTATGCCTTATTATCTTCCTCAATATCTATGGCTACTAGAGAGAATTCAGACTGAAGCTCTTGACTTTTACTGGGCCGTACACTCTGGTGACTACTACCCTTTACCTGTACAAACTTTTCGGCACTTTTACTGGTGACCATTTTAGAGTAGTCGCAGTCCTTTTCTGATTCATTATAGTCCTTCACATCTTCACTAGAACTATAGGTATCGCTATCTTTATTTGTTTCAGTATCTGGAGATATCAGTCGATCTGAAGAATGGGTATTGTTCCCCACAATACATTGTAGAACTGTCTGTTCAGATATGTCTGACTTGATATCAGAAGGCGTTGAGACAGATGAAACTGATGTACTTGCAGCTGAGGACTGTGACCTCGTCATATCTGTCAAGTCCTCAGAACTGATTAAAGACAAGTCTGATACACTGTTGGGTTCAGTGGCCTGACTCCTGTCTCTTTCTAATGTCCCCGAATCCTGATCCTCAAACCCAGATTCGGCTGACCGTTGATTGTCTTTATTGAGAGTAGTACCCTCTGTATACTCCTGGACACCTTTCTCCTCTATAAAAACAGCATTGGTGTGTATACCTATGTCACTCAGATCAGCTGTATCACTGGTGTCCGTGCTATCAGATGTGCTTCTGTTGCTCTTGTCTCTAGTTTTCTGTGTTGTCCGAATTATCATGTCACCCGTCATAACAAAAGTTTCAAAACCCTTGTCTTTCTTGGTGTTATCTTTGGAGCTGGTCTCTTCAATCTTGGAATGTGTGTCCACCAGTCCATTTTCCTGAAATATGTGCTTGGGTTGTTCTTTGGTCAGTTGTTTTACTTTGTTATTAGCCAAGGTGTGGCCTGTGGCCCTGACTGGCACGGGGATACGGGAGGAGGCACTCTGAGCAACACGGTCCACCATCACCAGCTATCATGCAATCACATCAGGCACCCAAACCATTAATAGGTCAAGACTGTCCCTCAAGTGCAAGGCAATTCTTATCCTCATGATATGTTTTTATCTACAAAAAAAAAAGATACATTAAATAGTTACCATCATCTCCAATATTTTTTTTTCCTTTTGCAAATTGAATGTAGTTGTGTACGTAGATACAAGCAGAAAATCACAATATATACACATATTCAGTTCAGTCTGAACAAAATATTTGATCATGATTGAAATATTTCATATAATTTTTAAAGTTAGAAACAGAACAAAAAGTCTAAAACCACTAAATGATCATTAAGAAATTACATTAGCAAATGATTCATTCCACATCAAAGAATGCAAGCTTCTTAGTAGTGTATTTCCTTCAGAAAGAAACATTTTTTTAACAGGAAGTTGAAATTGTTGACATGAAAATATCACAAAAATTCAGGAAGTTCTTAGATAACATGATTGATTCACTAGCTTAACCTGTACTTCAAGTACAATACTCACTACTCTTTCTATTTAAAATATACAGCTTTTAAACTTAAGGAAATACGTATAGACAGACATTAATATATGCAGACATTATTACTGATATAATGATTGTAGACAGAGAATAGGTCCTCCATATGTTAACATTGATTAACACTTGTGTAATCAGACAATGCTAAACTTACAGCAGGATAACCTCACACATCAAATAACAATCACACAATCAAATTTCACTCTGTACATAAAATTCTTATTCCTTTCATTCTACATGTATTATTTTTCTATCATTTATATAATCTCTTTTTCTATTGTGTAGTTCTACCTCTGTTTACTGCGTAGTTCTACCTCTGTTGATTGTGTAGTTCTACCTCTGTTTACTGTGTAGTTCTACCTCTTTTTACTGCGTAGTTCTACCTCTGTTTACTGCGTAGTTCTACCTCTGTTTATTGTGTAGTTCTACCTCTGTTTACTGTGTAGTTCTACCTCTTTTTACTGCGTAGTTCTACCTCTGTTTATTGTGTAGTTCTACCTCTGTTGATTGTGTAATTCTACCTCTGTTGATTGTGTAGTTCTACCTCTGTTTACTGTGTAGTTCTACCTCTGTTGATTGTGTAGTTCTACCTCTGTTTACTGTGTAGATCTACCTTTTTTTACTGTGTAGTTCTACCTCTTATTGCCTAGTTCTACCTCTTTTTATTGTCTAGATCTACTTCTTTTTATTGTCTAGATCTACTTCTTTTTATTGCCTAGGTCTACTTCTTTTTATTGCCTAGTTCTACCTCTTTTTATTGCCTAGTTCTACCTCTTTTTATTGCCTAAGTCTTCCTCTTTTTACTGGAGAGCTCTACCCATTATCTGAATCTTTGTTTCTGTGACCCAGTGTTATTCGTTTGTATTCTGGTTAACTATATGATACAAATATCTGCACAATATCTGCTTAATTTAATTGGAATCAATTACCATGTGTTATTTGTAATTTGTACAGGCATATACATGCAAGCTAAAAAAAAACACAATTTCATAGTTAACATCCTGGTATATCACTGATCACAATAATTATATCACCATTTAATGGGAAGTTGATGGTTTTACATATAACCAATAACCTGGGAATGCCAGCAATGACACCAAGTGTATTACTGAGTCAGATCAATAACAACAATGTTTATAATCCATCAATAAACATTACACAAGAAATAGCTGAACAGCTGTGTTCCTATACACTAAGCATGGTGAAACACACTGCTTTCGTAGCATCACTATAAGCAGGCTCTTTAGGGATCATGTATATATAGTTATCTTACAGTTTCAGTAACGTTCATACCAATATATACTTTCACATTAGTTTTTTTTTTGGTGCCAGAATTGCAACAACACAAAAATATGATAGTAGATAGATCTACAGATTTGTATCCTTATTGTACCTAAAGAATATCATTAAAACATCAATACCTCCCTTTAAACAAGTGTGATAAAATGTATGTTTAAAGCTGGTACAAACAGGGTAACCCTACATATTTGATATTTTTGTCATGAGCAATATCATAACATCCTTCTATGTGTTGAACATTTTGAAAAAAAAAAAAAGAAAACATATTATACATTAGACATATTACAAAAGGGTTTTGAAATCAAATTCCTTTACAGTCATCAATGGAGTCCTTATATTCTGTGCATAATGTACAAACATTATATATACCGAACAAATTTTGAAAGCGATATTGTATACTTATTTCTCAATAGCAAACTACCAGCACAAAAATCACTGGTAGGAAAAACCACAATGAAGATGATTCAGTAAGTAACTATCCATTTCCTTACATTGATAAATGTTGAAATCACAGCTCATTATAGTCACAATAGCACAATACCAGCTCAGTCCCAGGCATACTACAGTAACTTCAATGCCCAACACTACAAACACACAGGCTGCAGTCAAGGCTGATCCTGTTCTACAAAAGCATACACCAAAACAATCAACCACACTTAAATCCTCATCCCAGCTGATCCCTGAACTAGACATCCAATCACCTATAAACATATATCTGATACATAGGAAACATATAAATATTCTTTCTTACCACATAAAATCACACAACGAAACTTCTTCCTGTAGCAGAAGAATAATGCACTATACTTGAGGACTTCATTATCCAAAAATAATACCCTTACAAATATCTTTTTAAAAATCACTGTAAACTACCCTTTCCCTTGAAGTCCCTGTGCACAAAAGCGTAAACATCATTATTGGTGGTGTTCTGGAACTCCAAAGGAGAAGCAGACTAGAACTGGGGGTATATTTTGAGAATACAGATTGTTCTGCCTCCATATTAGTTACATCTTTAGTCAATCCAACTTTAGTAGCTCTGGCCAGGCTGCCTGGTCCAGTGCCATTACCTAGTTGTTCAGGCCCTCCCCCTCCCCCAACCCACACCCCACCTCCCTATTTTTCCCAATAAAATTTGTCTACAGTGACTTGTTTTGCCAATTGTACCATAGCTTTAACTGATACAGAAATTTGTTTTATATGGGAAATGTTTTTATAATTTTGATAATAGTTCATTATGTGCAGTTCACCATGTTGTAGAACCAGCAACAGATGGACTGACCAAACTTTTAGTAGGAAATTTTGTCAATAAATTCCTTAAATTATTATGATTATCTGTCAGTATTAACATAGCAATCATCCTTAAGTTTAACCCATTTTGTTTAATAATGATTGGTCAAAATATGAAGTTGAAAGTTTTTCTTTCAAACTTAAGCTTTAAACCATTACAAAGTCTCCACTCAAACATCCATATATTAGCTTCCAAAATTTCATATATCTAAAAAAATCTAATAAAACTATCTATTTTCTATTACCACATACTAAGAACACACATTAAGAGATGACACACTTATTGTTTGATTTATATTTGAAAATATAATGACACTATATGATGGAATGTGTTATTCTAATTTGCAATCAAGGTGAAATAACGAGAAACAATATGATAAAGGTATATTATTACTTATTACTTCATTATTAAATGTAATAATGATCTCTAAATAATTTTCAGTCAAAATTTGGTTGTCAATTTCCAATTTTTGGATTAATGTTAGTATGTGATGTAGCTGTAAATATTGGCACACAATACACTTTTCAGTTATTTGATGTAATGTACACTTTGAACTGTGACACTGGTTAACTTTATTTATTAAATGATGTACTCAATAATTTAATAGATTACTAGGTAGTTGTTACCAATTACTAAAGAAGCACTATTCTACAGCTTTTCTTGTCTGTTAATGTCGTGTGATGTCTACACCGCTACTTGTTTATACTTTATATATGTAACCATTATTGATATTAATTTTTGAAATAACTTGAAAATGAAGAATAACAATCAATGTAGTTTTGTATGATAATGTGCACATGTGTAAATAAAACAATGATGCTATAAGTTAATATTATAGTTCACCTTGATGACTATGACGATGATGATAATGATGATGATGATGATTGTTTGCATGATGATGTGCACAATAACAATAATGAAAGTTTTAGAGAGTGGTGTAAGCATGTGAGGATGTTATATGTTAATATCATATTTATGATAAATTTCCCAACTAATACTTTGACTTAACTCACTATGTTAAGATGGTAATTTTTTCCCCTAGGAACTCTAACTATTCCTACATGAGATGTAATCTATTTACCTTATGCAATGGCGAAGCTAATCAAACAATAAATTGGTGTACATTGACTTTCAATGTGAAATCACAGACTTGCATAGGACATTCTTTTATCTAAAAACAGAACACTCACGTTTGGGATTTTCAGAAATCAACAATAGCTTTTGTTGGGAAATATTGACAAAATAGTATCATATATAATCTATTTCCAGCAGAAATATCAGAAAATTTATTACCCAATACACAATGTCAGAAGATGTATGTAATAAAAGTTAATCATCATACAAAATAAACAAATCGTTGACATAAACATCTGTGTTAAAAAAGAAAGCTAAGCATTTCCCTGATATGTATCTGTAAATCAACGTAAGTGCAGCACAGTTTTTCAGTGGGCCTTCTGGCAGTTATTACCAGTGTTACAGAACTGAACATTGAATTTGTCCTCTCATCGAACACTGTAACACCATTACAACGTAAGTTGAAATCAAACTGAAACTTTATGACAATTAATGTATATCAGTGATCACATTTTCTGAGGTGTAGCCAGTTACGGTATTTGTTTACATTGGAAAGGGGAGTTTCGGAAAAATTGGGTGACAGACGGCTCTTTGTCGGCATCGCTCATTTTAACTTGTTTTCCTGATACTTGAAACTATTATCCTTGTTGATGATCTAAGTAGTAAATTGTTGTATGATTTAAATAATGATTGGACGTCCATTTACATATAAACTTTACAATACCTGATTTTGCGTACTACAAAAAAGCCGAGTTGTAATAAAATCATTACCATTTTCCTCCATATTGAAATTTGTAGTTATTACTAATTTACGGAACAACACCGGAGACGGAATCTACGGACTTATAATGACTTTACAACACTCGCACTGCATAGTGTGGAATTAATTGCTATTTTTGTAATTTGTTTCTCCTTTTCCATGTTGAATTTTATCTTTTATAAAGGAAAGAACATATGATTTTCATAACGTATGTAATGTATGTTTGATGGTGTTGTGTAATTACGCACTAGACAACCGGAGTTCGATTCCACGGTTGGACTTGAAAGGTTTGGAATTCCCAAAGTGCCTCTCACACGCTTCTGTCTGTGACTAGGGTGATTAATATCAACTATAGCCATTTTTCATGATCGTTTTAAAATATCTAAAACAATGAATATTTATGAAATTTACTTAAAATATATTTCATTGTTAAAATAAGTTGAAAAGATAAAATACAAGAGAGTTATTAGCACTATTAATTCTATTAACAGATATAGCAAATATCTATCATTAGATGACCTAACTAAATTTAATTTTGTACAACATCTTATAATGTAAACACTATCGTGCCTGGATAGCGACTGGTCAATATCATACTGTCACTGAATAGCATCTACAGACAAAGGAGTGATTAACACCTTTCTGAAGTTAAATGCAGTTAGATAGAGTCAGAAACGTGTTTCTGATACGACGACAACAAAATCCTTTGGTGCTGCATTTTATTACATTTCTGACGAGGTTCGTTTGAAAAATAAAATGTCAGTCTGTCAGGATAACAGTCAACAAACTATCAATTAAGTTAAAAAAAAAACCTGTCATCTTCATATGTACATTGAAGTGTCAGGTGTTCCGAGTGACGAACGAGATCATTTCAACGTAAGTTAAATCATACTTACATTTACTAGTAAATATTGTATTGTACTGCACAACGAACTAACAACACATATAGATCGATTAAGTTAGGTAAATTAATTTATTATCGTGCTTTGTGCCCTTTCATTTTCATTCCGACTTAATCCGCTACAGAGAAGTCCTTTATAACTCTAGAACGGTTTGGCCTGTTAACCCACTTCGAACTTCTCCCAATAACGCGATTTTGCTGCAGAATCCTCTGTAATTATCATTTTATTGAATATGGGTTCCGACTTTCTGGTCTGTAAATCTATCCCTTTGTGTGTGTCTCTCGTGCCTTGGGAGTATCAGGTCATCTCGGAGCCTCCTGTATCATTGCTATTGGAGCATATTAGTCGTGATTCTCATCCAGATATTATCCAGAACATGCTTCCGTTTCCGGTACCACGAACACGGAGGCGTTCCGTTCACAACATTACAGAAAGAAAGTGTGCTTACGTTAAAGGCAGTGAATGGTAGAGACAATTTTTAAAAAGCTTGCTTGAAAGCCTTCTATAAAGAGACTCTCCATTCTGTTTGCTAGTAAAGTAGCAATGGCATAAACCTTCTGAGAAATTGTGGCGAACGACAACCCCGATTCACTTTTCTGATTTAAAGTCTCACCTCAAAGTTATAGTAACAGTCAATAACAGGTATTCCATTCCGAGTACTGACACTTGCTAAACGTCCAAGAAAAAAAACCCTTCTCAACTCTGTTCTGCGTTGCAACCTGTTGCATCCATTTGGAAAGTGTCTCCTGGAGATATCTTGGAGCCTGAAATCAAGGACCTGGGACACTTCATTGGTCGTTTATCTCGATTTTTTAGCTGTAAACAACAAACTGTACGACGAGCGTGACGTTCCCAATTTCCCTAGTTGTGTGAATTTTTCCAATATCTGATATTTTTGCTGCCCAGTCCCTCCTCCCTTCCCCAAACTCGTTCGCGGGGTGATGAAGCGAACACAAACCCCAGTCTATAATGGTATTTTATGTCACAATTGATTCGATAGTATTGTTTCACATACCAGAGTTTCCGTGTTAGATGTCACAAGGTAACAAGTGATTTCGAACGAAGCAAGTTTTTGAAGGGAGATAATCAGAGTCGTGTTAGGAAATTTCCTTGTGCGATATGAACGTCACGTAAAAAAAAAGAAAGAAAAAAATGTGACAGATATTTTTCAACAGACCATTAATTTATTTTAATGCCTCTCTAGGATACGAATACAAGACCTCTGGCTCACCTGAGAGAAGTATTGTTTCCCGAATACCTGCTATGATCGTCAGGGTAACAGGGGTAATTATTTATTTCAATGCCTCAGCTAGGATTCGAACACGGGGCCTCTGGCTTAATAGTTTGAATATCTCTCCAGCTGAGCGGTATTTTGCGGTTAGTAATTTACTAAGGGTCACATGAAGTTTGATCAGTGTGTTCGATGCCTGTTTGTATGCGAGATGGTTTGCTGTTAGGCTATAACCTTGTTCTGAACTGAGAACAATTCATTGCTTACTTGGACGCTTGCCCTTCCGGAACAAATCGGCTCTTTTTCACGTATTTAAGCTTCTCTGTTTCCGTTGAGGCAGACATATTTACTGATATTTTTTATTAGGATTTATTGTTTGGTTTAAAAGTTATTAAGTACACTATTAGTAAGCAAACTAATCTGCTTAGGTGTCGACATGCCATTTTTTTCAACATTCCGGAACAGAAGACCTTTTGTTGGTTCTTATACTTTATTTCTTCTCGCGTCAAAAATCATGTGACCAAACGATAACACACGGGAACAAAATGGCGAAACTACTGAACGTTGTGACGGTGAGTGTGCGGATTATTTTAGTATCTTGTTCAAGTAGATGTATAATCGCTTGAAATCAACTTCATTGAGGGTTGTCAGTCAGTAAGTCCATATGTTCGTACTATTTGGCATCTATGGATTAACTGGGTAACCTCTATATCACGGAGGTGAAGCGTTGCGTAAACATCGCTGTCACTTGATGTTAGGCTGTGACTGTGGCTACTGACATAGTGTGCGATCTCTGCGTGCTCAACCAGAACGGTCACTTCCCGTGACGGATATAGAATTCGATTATAGAAGACCTGATGTGTCTTGATTATACAGGTAACACAAATACGGACGGTAAAAAAGCTACCCGGATATCTGCCACAAACTTCTTCGATTTACGAGTGCCCGGGGAGTAATGCACTCAATCAAAATTATTTTTTGCATGTTGACATGGATGTAAAGTGTGGAAAGTGCAGATAAAAAAGATCAACGAATTCATAGGCTTGCAAAATGTCTTTGAGCACCCACGGGACATTGCCTTGATTATCCCTTTTTGGATTTCTCAATAGGGCTCGTTTATATGGGACATTGGAGTTGGAGATACCACAAGTTTATAAACCATAGCGAGGTGCCAGCTATTTTCTGAATTTCGTGTGTTGACTTTGGCGTAGACAAAAATAAAATCATTAATAAATGTTCATTGCTGTTAAACTTTTGGACATTTATTTTGAAAACTAGAAAGAAAGTGTAGTTTATAATATTCAAGAAAGATAATATATTGTTTGAGCCAAGTGTTGTTGTATATATATTCAGATTAAGTAAAAATGAGTAAAAAAAACTATCATTGATTTTGCAACTCTGAAATCACTCCCTATTAATTACCTTCTAATAGTGATTTTGTTGGACATTTCCTGAGATTAAAAAAGAGTCATTTATAAAAGTTAAAACCAGACACTTTGATGAAAGTAAGTAACCTTTGCCGATATACAACTGTTATCAGATAATATCTATCTCCAACTGGATAGGACGGGTAACCTTTCATAATTTATATATATAAGTGTAGAATTTGTAATAATCTTTATGTAACCTATCCTGTATATATCTAGGTGATAGCTCCTGATCATGCTAAGTTCACAGTTCATATATGTGTGTATGGCTTACGTACTATAATTCCTAATAACCATTTATATATATTGATGAATAGTTCGTTACAATATGCAAGTGTCTGTTACATATGTTGGTAGATATACCTTAACATATACAAATTCATGTTCAATTTGGGGAACTAATTAAGAAAATTACTTTTCATTTTCATTCAGTGAGTTATCAAGAAAATTTCAATTATCAATTTATTGTCCTAAATATCAGATTTAGAAAGGGTTTGATACATGTACTTGTGTATGTAAAGTGAATAAAGAGCTCTCTGTACCAGGTAGGTATTATGTAAGAGTAAATAGGTTATCATAAGTAAATACCTGGTATCATTATGTCTGCACATGGATAGACCACTCGCCAAAATATTTATTTTGGAAAAGTTATTTAAGCTTCTGAATTAAATTACATGTGGAGGGAATTACTGAAATAATGAGCTTGTGTACTTGTAAACACTGTTCACAATTAGTTTTTAAACGTACTTATAAATTGCTTTTACTTTATGTCCATTCTATATCTATTTCCTAGAGCCATTTATTTCTGCTGTCAGCTGTGATATATCCCTTTACATTTCTCTCAATACACTGAATATCACTGCATTTTACTAATATATTATAGCACACAATTTTTCTGAACCAATGGGTGAAAAAGAAACTAAAATACAATGGTATATTTTGAAAAATATTTGGATGATGAATTTAAAATTCAGTAAAATAAATTACAGGACAAATATTTACCAATATCTTTAACTGTGTTCACTGTTTCTTACCAATATCTTCTGCTGAAATGTAACAGCAGAGAAGTGGTTTGTTCATAATATAAACATTTCTGTCTGCTGTAGGGACCAGTGATGCCGTACCTTGATATAGTAAAGGACAAGATCAACAGTCTGTGTGCTGGACTGGCGCCATGGCAGGTGGTGGTTTACTCCTGTGGTGGAACACTAGTCTTTATCACCGTTAAAAACCTCCTCCTTTCCAATGAGGAGCAAAGTGAGTCATATTGCAACTTGTATTTGCATTCTAGAATACTGATAAGATTATATTTGATAATATGATTGGAGGGAAGGATGGTCAAATATTCTCATTTAGTGGTGAAATTGCACATAGTCTTTTAGTTATTGTCAACAATGTCCTTTTAATGGTGATCTGCTGTGTCTGTGGTGTTCTGTGCAGGCCTTGTACATACATCCAGAGATGTCATTGAAATAAAGGAGTCAAAACAAACATCTTATTTAAATTGATAGGATTAAACTGTTCTGATTTATTAATGTGGGCTGATGAAATAGTAAATTTTGTCAATTAAAGCACTTAAGAAGAGGACACTGAACAGTATCTTTCGGTATGTGAAGATGATTCCTGCTGTAAAGAGGAAGGTTGCCGAAGAGAAGAATAAAATGCTGAGTGATATGGAGGCCAGCTTCCATAAAAGTGTTGAGGGGTACCAGAAAGCTCTTCCAGTCAATGGTCTGAAAATGGTGAGGATTTTGTCTGTACAAGTTATGTGAATGGGAAACATTTTCAAAGAGGGTTAGATTGATTATCTATGAAAAAAATTCACTAGCATTTTTAATTCACAAAACAAAAAAACAAAAAAAAGTTGCACTTTATAGATTTATAGAGATGTAGTGTTAACTACCATATTCTGATATGATCTCATTATCAAACCTCCTTCTCTGACAGCTTGGAGCAATGTTGAAAGGGGCTTTCTTGTCCTGTATTTTTGGTATAGTCGCTGATATTGTGTTTATTTTCCTACTGTTTCGGTAATGGTAACTAGGTGCCACGTTGATCACATTTTGTGTAGATGGCAAAATACTGATGCCATTGTTTCCGTTTTTAGGAGGAAGTTGAGGAGCTGTTGTTACAATATAAAAATTTAGGTGAGTAAAACATACTGAGTTTGTTTCCTTCTAATAGTTTGACTTTACCATAAACAGATAGCATTACATTTTGACTAGATTTTTGGAAACAGAAAGGTCTTTCTCTTCATTTCACTTGGTGAATTTTCTCTTAAAAAAGCACAGAGATCTGAAAGATTACTTGTGCCATGATCGGTGCTCTTTGTTTTGAAGTATGAGACTACAACCACTGCTATTTATGTTATAACATGATGTTGCTAAGACATGTTCTATTTGAGTGTATTATGGTGCTACAACCAGTGTTATTTGTTATGACATATTGCTAAGACATGTTCTATTTTAGTGTATTATGGTGCTACAACCAGTGTTATTTGTTATGACATATTGCTAAGACATGTTCTATTTGAGTGTATTATGGTGCTACAACCAGTGTTATTTGTTATGACATATTGCTAAGACATGTTCTATTTAAGTTTATTATGGTGCTATATTCAGTGTTATTAGCCCACCATCATCAGATGGTGGGGTATTCAAATTACCTTACATCTGTGGTCCATTGTCTGTCCATCCGTCGGTCCGTAAACAATTTCTGTTATCGCTATTTCCTGAGAAGTACAGGATGGATCTTTCTCACATTTCATATGTAGGTTTGCCTTGATCCCTATTTGTGCCCATTTGATTCTGGAACTGATCAGAGAAACAAAATGGCTGACAGATGGCCATCTTGGATTTTTTCAATGAAGTTTATTATGGCTATTTTTGAAAAGTACTTGATGGATCACTCTAAAATTTCATATGTAGGTTCCACATGCATTTTAGTTGTGTCTGACTAAATTTTGGACTGATCATAAAAACAAGATGGTTGACAAGTGGCCATCTTATATTTTGACTTTACAGGTTCTTATCGCTATTTCTTGGGAAGTACTGGATGGATCTCTCTCAAATTTCCTACGTAGATAACCCCTTGGTCCCTAGTTGTGCCTGTTTGATTTTGGGACTAGAACTGGACAGGCAGCCATCTTGGATTTCACTAGTAAAGATTGTTATCCCTATTTCTGTAGAAATACTGAATGTACTGTATAATGATGTATATTGCTTTGGTCATTACTTCTTGTCACCATATACGTTTACAGCCCAGGTGGATTGGGAGAATGGACAGGTATCTGGAACTGTTTACAGTGGAGAGGCAGAACTCACTGAACTCATGGCCAAGGTAGGTCACACAACTATTCCCCTTTTACAAGAGTGGACTAGACTGTATGTAGAGCTCGTCAATGCTTACATTTGCATGTACTCAGTCATTAACCTTATTTTGACTATTTGTTCTTTATTGTGTTGATTTCATTGTTTCCATTTTGTATGTACTGTAGGTGACTTTGATAGGACTGGATTGTTAGAGTTTGAGCTCCTAACCACACAGATCATGATGGCTGTTTTGACTTTATATAATTCTTATCATTTTTATGTTTTTTGTTAGACATATGGAATGTTTGCTTGGTCCAATCCATTGCATCCAGATGTGTTCCCTGATGTGAGAAAAATGGAAGCAGAGGTTGTCCGTATGTGTTGTACCATGTTCAATGGCGATGAAAATTCATGTGGTACGGTGAGTAAAGAATCAAGAGTAACTATCGAAGTTATTCAATGTATTATGCTCCCCAAAAATTTTCGGGTAGGCATATAGTTGCTGCCTTATCTTTCTGTTCATCCGTCCATCCATTGTCTGTCCTTTCATTTTCTGTTGACAAAGACAATGTGCAGTTTACTAATGCCTGCAACCCCTTAATTAAAGAGTTATTGCCCTTTGTTAAGATTAATTTTGTGTCTGGAGCATTACTTTGCCTGTATTTAAGCTAGGATAATGAAAGGTGATGTATACATCAGTCATACAGAAGCAAGGTGTAGTGTAGCAAATTCAGGGCTCATGACCCCTTAGTACAGAGTTATTGCCCTTTATGGATTTTTTTGTCATGAACATACCGTAAAAACCCACGTAATGTCCGCATCTGTGTAATGTCCGCACCCCTTTTTTGACACAAAAATCTGGGGAAAAAACCCACCTTCCATGTAATGTCCGCGGGTAAAAAATGCAAATTGAAGCTGCCGATTTCATTTCACGTACGCTAATGTCGTAATGGCCGAGAGCATGTCGCATTGTGTATAACATACAGGTACCATTCAAGAATTCACTTAATTGTTTATAACAACAGTTATTCTCCATAATGGTACAGTAAGCTTACCAGTATGACAAGTCCTCATTTCGATAAGTGGTGTTTTGATAAGGGTTAGCCCAGCAGTGTTATAAACAGCTTGGGTCATCTCCTCACCTCGAGTGTGAGTGAGTGACAGCGTGTGATTAGCCAATTAATGATAACTATACAGTAACATGACCCACGGCGCCACTGACCCTACTGACACACCATCAGACGACGAGAACGCCATTTATTACAACGACCAGACAGAGGAAGACAACTTCAACGCCGAGGAGTTCTTCCACAGTGACGACGACGACTTCTGGGGTTTCGAGAAATGCGATTAAAACGGCCTGCTATGTATTAAGACTTTCTGATAAACGATCCATAATCAATAAAACGTCTGATTATTTATTTTATTCTTGTACATGTTATTTATTGTTATTTTGTAAATAAAATGTAGAATGAAAATGTTGTGTTATTTTGTATATGCTCATGGGTATGCTTTTTCAATGGGGAAAGGGGAATAACTCTAACTTTATTCATGTGACAAAGTCAAACAAAATGGCTTCCTATTACGAAGGACGACACAATACGAACCTGTAACGAGAAAATGGAAGGAATTAACCATGGAAACTATAATAAATAATCATAAATAATCATGTTTGGTTGAGGGAACATCATAGGAAAAACCATAGAACGATAATATCAGGTATGCTTGGCTTTTAAGAACACAATTCAAGGAGATATGATATGAATTGTCGGAAGGAAAAAAGTGTCATTTCCTCTATATCTCTGTAATGTCCGCACCCCCTTTTTTGGATTGATTTTCGGTGAAAAAAAGTGCGGACATTACATGGGTTTTTACGGTAGTTTGCTTGCATTATGACTAGGAGCATGAAACTTGGTGTATACATTTGCCATACTTAGAGAATGTGCTGTATACCCAATTCAGGGCTTGCAACCCCTTGATTACAGAATTATTGCCCTTTGGTAAAATTTTGTGTAATTGATACTATTGTTTGATGATTAGAGGACCTTTCAACATCTATCTGTTTCTATTATAGTTTGTTTCTTGTGAGCATAATGATAATTTGAATGACTAATTTCTGTTATAAAATAAAATTTATGCTTTTTAAGATTCCAGGGTAGTGATGTTACTACACAATTCAATCTACTTTAGAAATATGTCAAATTCTGACACAGTTTAAAAGAGAGTATCATTAGGGTTCTGCATCAAGATGCAGTATCTCAAATTCTGTTGGGCCAATTACACTCATACTTTATGCCAAGTCTCCTTGAATGAAGTACTTGCTTGGGGCATGTAGCTTTTCATATCCCAAGATTAAAGTCAAGGTCACAGTTGTTATAAATAGAAAATCAGTTTCCATGTGTAAACTAGAGTTTGCTTCGGCCAGTCTGACCCAGACTTCATCAAGTACTTCCTTACTGAAAATGTTTGCATGGTATTGATGTACAGTTTTAAAGGTCAAAGGTCAAGATCACAGTTGCTATAAATAGAAAATCAGTTTCCATGTGAAAAATAGAGTTTGCTTCGGCCAATCTGACCCAGACTTCATCAAGTTCTTCCTTACTGAAAATGCGTGCTTGGGATTGATGTACAGTTTTGAAGGTGAAAGGTCAAGGTCAATGTTACTATAAATAGAAAATCAGTTTCTATGTGATATCACAACTTTGCTTATCAAGCTCTAAACTCATGCAATGCTTCCTTATAAAAATGGCTTGGTTTAGATTGTTTTTCAGACCCAAGGGTCAATGGTCCAGATTTCTGTTACTCTAAATAGAGAATTGGTTCTATGATATAACTTGGGTTCCTTTGGGCCAATAAAAATTAATCCAATGCTTTCTTACTGAAAGTGCTTGCTAGCACTGTCAGTGTTCTAGTTTAGTTAGAATTAGAGGAGTGGGCTGTTGAAAGTATGAAAATTGAACTTAAATGATTTTGCTCTTGGAAGATGGTATTAGATTTAATAATTGTGGATAACTATTTTAGATGACATCAGGAGGCACAGAGAGTATTCTACTGGCTTGTCTCACATACAGAAACATCGCTCGCGATAATGGTGTCAATTTCCCAGAAATGTAAGTGGTATTTCTAAATGAAAATGTTTCCGTCTGATGAAAGTGCTTTGAAAGTTCTGATTAACTGTGAGCATTTCTTTGAATGTATATGGATGGAATAGTCTAGACCTAATAATTGATGTATTTCATACAGCAATTCTACAATTTCTGCAACCTTAGAGTTTAATGATATCAACTGTACAACCTCACAGTGTAAAATAATATATATTTTACAACATCACATCCTAAAATGATATGTATTTTAGAACCTCACACTTTAGAATACCTGCTCTACATAGATAATATCTACTGTACATACTAAGACCGTTGTTTCCTCAGTAAATACATTTGTTTATTCTACAGGATTGTACCTGTTACCGTTCATGCTGCTTTTGATAAGGTACGTACTTAAAATCACTTTGTTGATTTGTAATGGAATTTATTATGTCATTTACTATAACACCTTTCTCTAGAATATACAGTATAATTAGTAATTACAGGAATTTATTATGTCACTTACTATAACACCTTTCTCTAGAATGTATAGTATAATTAGTAATTACAGGGACCAATTGATCCCAATACAGTTTCTGTTGAACTAAGTTACATAGTTTCACTGTCAGATGGTGATGATCATGATGTCAATGACCATCAGAGTTACACACCTTTTTGATCTTCAAAAGCAAATTTTCAAAGTTATGTTATCTCTGCTTTGATTTGTCAGAAACCACATCAAAATGAAGAAAAATAGACAAAACCGTATTGAAAGTTGTTTCAGTGGCAGAAATTGAACCCATGTATTATTCACTCTCTGTAGCTTAGTAAGTAATGCTAGTCTTTTTCCTTTTATTTTAGGCGGCATACTACTTCCGAATGAAAATCACACACATTTCTGTCGATAAAGTAACAGGGAAGGTGGACATCAAGGCTATGAGGAAGGCTATTAATAAAAACACATGTATGGTAAGTTTTACAAGCTTCAGTCAAACGTATATAGGATCTGGTTTATATCTAGGTATTTTTTTATCCTTTAGGTTGTACTTAGTGGTAACTAAGAAACAGTACTTTATTTTTAATATTCATAGATTTAGTTCATATTCACACCTTAGGGTCACTCATGAAGATCTACACCTGATTAGATTTTGTTTGAACATTTTTGGAATAAAAAGCTATATACAAAGTGTACAGGACATCTTGTGAATCTCTTGATTTATTTTGATCAGAAAAAAGAGACAAGTGGATGGGGGGATATATGTGTTAGCTACTGCTCTCATCGATTTTGTTATTTTATGTGAAATACAAGCTTTACTCTAAGTATCAATAAAAATCTGTGTATTTCAGCTAGTTGGATCAGCACCTGGTTTCCCTCACGGTATTATAGATGACATTGAAGAAATTTCTGCAGTAAGTTTTAGTTTGATCCTTCTGTAATACTAATAAGTATCAGAACATATTTGTTTCTGATTTGCTGAGGTTGGTATTAGTGTTTGGTAAACTCAGACACAATATCATATTTCATATACAGTATATCAAATTTCAAAAATAATTAAATTACTGTTTGTTATTCTAAATTGGTCTTTATCTCACTCTAGCTTGGAAAGAAATACAACATTCCAGTTCATGTTGACAGCTGTCTAGGCGGCTTCCTAGTTCCGTTCATGGAGAAAGCAGGCTTTCCAATTCCAGCAGTAGATTTCCGACTTCCGGGGGTTACAAGTATATCAGCAGACACACATAAGGTAAAAGAGAAATTGCTTTAAGAATGGTTGTAGTCAGATGGATAAGTATGATCCTGACCCGTTTTGCTCCTTGCTAATTTATCAGTAAACTATAAAACAATAAATTTGTGTTTGATTTACCTGTCCTCTCTATCTTGGTAGGTATTTCTCATGTTTTAGCTGGCTTACTGTTTTGTCTGGGCTACACCTTCTACACTCATCACTATAACTTCATGTATTAGCTGGCTTACTGTTTTGTCTGAGCTACACCTCCTACACTCATCACTCTAACTTCATGTATTAGCTGGCTTACTGTTTTGTCTGAGCTACACCTCCTACACTTGTCACTATAACTTCATGTATTAGCTGGCTTACTGTTTTGTCTGGGCTACACCTCCTACACTCATCACTATAACTTCATGTATTAGCTGGCTTACTGTTTTGTCTGGGCTACACCTCCTACACTCATCACTATAACTTCATGTATTAGCTGGCTTACTGTTTTGTCTGGGCTACACCTCCTACACTCATCACTATAACTTCATGTATTAGCTGGCTTACTGTTTTGTCTGAGCTACACCTCCTACACTTGTCACTATAACTTCATGTATTAGCTGGCTTACTGTTTTGTCTGGGCTACACCTCCTACACTCATCACTATAACTTCATGTATTAGCTGGCTTACTGTTTTGTCTGGGCTACACCTCCTACACTTGTCACTATAACTTCATGTATTAGCTGGCTTACTGTTTTGTCTGGGCTACACCTCCTACACTTGTCACTATAACTTCATGTATTAGCTGGCTTACTGTAATAACTTCATGTTCTGGGCATGGGTATACCAAGATGAGGTGATGCAGCATGTTTAAAGTATGTCATTGTGACCTACATTTTGACCATTGACCTACATCAAATTGAAAGGTTGTCTAGGCTCAATTTCTTACACTACTTTACACTACTTGTCATTGGAACTTCACACTTTGACCTAGTTTATGACCTTTGACTTTAACTGTGTTTTGGTGATACCATCTAATCAGTTTAGTGCTAATGCCTCTTTGAATTGGTGATATCACTAATTCGTTTTAACTTCTGATATTAGTAAAATTAGTGTACTGATAAATTCATTCACATTGATAGTACTAAATTCATTTACTCAGTGAAATGTTGCAGAATACATGGTGTCACCACATACAATTTAGTCGTAAATTGGCACCACTTACCGGTACACATCCAGCAGATTGATTGGTTAAGTAACACTGATGATATACCTTATTGAATACAGTGGGTCTGTCAAACTTTCAATGTCTAGAATTAGTTCCTGCATAGATTTATCATCTGTGCATTCATGGCCTATATTTTCACGGTCAATTACTGAATGTTCTTGTTTATGTGATTACTTTTCCAAGAATAAGTTTTCATATTAAGTTAATCAAAAACACAGGTAGTGATTGTTCAGGTTGTATATGATGTAACATTACGTTTCCTTTAACACTGATCTCTGATTGTTCAGGTTGTATATGATGTAACATTACGACCGTGTTTCCTTTAACACTGATCTCTGATTGTTCAGGTTGTATATGATGTAACATTACGACCGTGTTTCCTTTAACACTGATCTCTGATTGTTCAGGTTGTATATGATGTAACATTACGAACACTGATCTCTGATTGTTCAGGTTGTATATGATGTAACATTACTTTTCCTTTAACACTGATCTCTGATTGTTCAGGTTGTATATGATGTAACATTACGTTTCCTTTAACACTGATCTCTGATTGTTCAGGTTGTATATGATGTAACATTACGTTTCCTTTAACACTGATCTCTGATTGTTCAGGTTGTATATGATGTAACATTACGTTTCCTTTAACACTGATCTCTGATTGTTCAGGTTGTATATGATGTAACATTACTTTCCTTTAACACTGATCTCTGATTGTTCAGGTTGTATATGATGTAACATAACGTTTCCTTTAACACTGATCTCTGATTGTTCAGGTTGTATATGATGTAACATTACGTTTCCTTTAACACTGATCTCTGATTGTTCAGGTTGTATATGATGTAACATTACGTTTCCTTTAACACTGATCTCTGATTGTTCAGGTTGTATATGATGTAACATTACGTTTCCTTTAACACTGATCTCTGATTGTTCAGGTTGTATATGATGTAACATTACGACCGTGTTTCCTTTAACACTGATCTCTGATTGTTCAGGTTGTATATGATGTAACATTACGACCGTGTTTCCTTTAACACTGATCTCTGATTGTTCAGGTTGTATATGATGTAACATTACGTTTCCTTTAACACTGATCTCTGATTGTTCAGGTTGTATATGATGTAACATTACGACCGTGTTTCCTTTAACACTGATCTCTGATTGTTCAGGTTGTATATGATGTAACATTACGTTTCCTTTAACACTGATCTCTGATTGTTCAGGTTGTATATGATGTAACATTACGTTTCCTTTAACACTGATCTCTGATTGTTCAGGTTGTATATGATGTAACATTACGTTTCCTTTAACACTGATCTCTGATTGTTCAGGTTGTATATGATGTAACATTACGTTTCCTTTAACACTGATCTCTGATTGTTCAGGTTGTATATGATGTAACATTACGTTTCCTTTAACACTGATCTCTGATTGTTCAGGTTGTATATGATGTAACATTACGACCGTGTTTCCTTTAACACTGATCTCTGATTGTTCAGGTTGTATATGATGTAACATTACGTTTCCTTTAACACTGATCTCTGATTGTTCAGGTTGTATGATGATGTAACATTACGTACCGTTTCCTTTAACACTGATCTCTGATTGTTCTGGTTGTATTGTTCAGGTTGTATATGATGTAACATTACGTTTCCTTTAACACTGATCTCTGATTGTTCAGGTTGTATATGATGTAACATTACGTTTCCTTTAACACTGATCTCTGATTGTTCAGGTTGTATATGATGTAACATTACGTTTCCTTTAACACTGATCTCTGATTGTTCAGGTTGTATATGATGTAACATTACGTTTCCTTTAACACTGATCTCTGATTGTTCAGGTTGTATATGATGTAACATTACGTTTCCTTTAACACTGATCTCTGATTGTTCAGGTTGTATATGATGTAACATTACGACCGTGTTTCCTTTAACACTGATCTCTGATTGTTCAGGTTGTATATGATGTAACATTACGTTTCCTTTAACACTGATCTCTGATTGTTCAGGTTGTATATGATGTAACATTACGTTTCCTTTAACACTGATCTCTGATTGTTCAGGTTGTATATGATGTAACATTACGTTTCCTTTAACACTGATCTCTGATTGTTCAGGTTGTATATGATGTAACATTACGTTTCCTTTAACACTGATCTCTGATGGTTCAGGTTGTATATGATGTAACATTACGTTTCCTTTAACACTGATCTCTGATTGTTCAGGTTGTATATGATGTAACATTACGACCGTGTTTCCTTTAACACTGATCTCTGATTGTTCAGGTTGTATATGATGTAACATTACGTTTCCTTTAACACTGATCTCTGATTGTTCAGGTTGTATATGATGTAACATTACGTTTCCTTTAACACTGATCTCTGATTGTTCAGGTTGTATATGATGTAACATTACGTTTCCTTTAACACTGATCTCTGATTGTTCAGGTTGTATATGATGTAACATTACGTTTCCTTTAACACTGATCTCTGATTGTTCAGGTTGTATATGATGTAACATTACGACCGTGTTTCCTTTAACACTGATCTCTGATTGTTCAGGTTGTATATGATGTAACATTACGTTTCCTTTAACACTGATCTCTGATTGTTCAGGTTGTATATGATGTAACATTACGTTTCCTTTAACACTGATCTCTGATTGTTCAGGTTGTATATGATGTAACATTACGTTTCCTTTAACACTGATCTCTGATTGTTCAGGTTGTATATGATGTAACATTACGTTTCCTTTAACACTGATCTCTGATTGTTCAGGTTGTATATGATGTAACATTACGTTTCCTTTAACACTGATCTCTGATTGTTCAGGTTGTATATGATGTAACATTACGTTTCCTTTAACACTGATCTCTGATTGTTCAGGTTGTATATGATGTAACATTACATTGATCTCTGATTGTTCAGGTTGTATATGATGTAACATTACGTTTCCTTTAACACTGATCTCTGATTGTTCAGGTTGTATATGATGTAACATTACGTTTCCTTTAACACTGATCTCTGATTGTTCAGGTTGTATATGATGTAACATTACGTTTCCTTTAACACTGATCTCTGATTGTTCAGGTTGTATATGATGTAACATTACGTTTCCTTTAACACTGATCTCTGATTGTTCAGGTTGTATATGATGTAACATTACGTTTCCTTTAACACTGATCTCTGATTGTTCAGGTTGTATATGATGTAACATTACGTTTCCTTTAACACTGATCTCTGATTGTTCAGGTTGTATATGATGTAACATTACGACCGTGTTTCCTTTAACACTGATCTCTGATTGTTCAGGTTGTATATGATGTAACATTACGTTTCCTTTAACACTGATCTCTGATTGTTCAGGTTGTATATGATGTAACATTACGTTTCCTTTAACACTGATCTTGTTACCTGGCCAGAGATTACCTTTTTTAATAGGATTTATTTCATAGGATTTAATAGGATTTAACCTTGTATACATTAAGTTTGTGGGTTGTTTCTCTGTATTTTAATTTCTGTCATTTCCAGTATGGTTTTGCACCAAAAGGGTCATCTGTGATCCTGTATAGAAATCCAACGTTCAGACAGCAGCAATTCTTTGTCCAGCCAGAATGGCCAGGTGGTATCTACGCGACGTCCACTACAGGGGGTAAGTCAGCTGATGTAGTATCCACAAAGTAAAGAATTCTAATATATATTTATATTAAAGATCTAAAGTGATCAAATTTGTTGCGAGTTTGTATGTCTGTTTGATTTCTTCACTGGATTCAGTTTGACACAATACTAATCTATATTCATGTTTTACGATGAAACAACACAGTTTCATCTATGAACAAAATTATGTGAACAATTACTATCTAAACATCTTAACACAGGCAGCAGGGCTGGAGCCATTATAGCAGCATGCTGGGCGACCATGATGCACATAGGTCTTGATGGATATGTGGAATCCACTCGCAAAATTGTCAAGACAGCCAGATATATAACAAAGGGGTGAGTTATAAATTATTGAGACAGCCAGATATATAACAAAGGGGTGAGTTATGAATTACTGAGACAGACAGATATATAACAAAGGGGTGAGTTATGAATTATTGAGACAGCCAGATATATAACAAAGGGGTGAGTTATGAATTACTGAGACAGACAGATATATAACAAAGGGGTGAGTTATGAATTACTGAGACAGCCAGATATATAACAAAGGGGTGAGTTATGAATTACTGAGACAGCAGATATATAACAAAGGGGTGAGTTATGAATTACTGAGACAGACAGATATATAACAAAGGGGTGAGTTATGAATTACTGAGACAGCAGATATATAACAAAGGGGTGAGTTATGAATTACTGAGACAGCAGATATATAACAAAGGGGTGAGTTATGAATTACTGAGACAGCAGATATATAACAAAGGGGTGAGTTATGAATTATTGAGACAGCCAGATATATAACAAAGGGGTGAGTTATGAATTATTGAGACAGCCAGATATATAACAAAGGGGTAAGTTATGAATTACTGAGACAGCCAGATATATAACAAAGGGGTGAGTTATGAATTACTGAGACAGACAGATATATAACAAAGGGGTGAGTTATGAATTATTGAGACAGACAGATATATAACAAAGGGGTGAGTTATGAATTATTGAGACAGACAGATATATAACAAAGGGGTGAGTTATGAATTACTGAGACAGCAGATATATAACAAAGGGGTGAGTTATGAATTACTGAGACAGCAGATATATAACAAAGGGGTGAGTTATGAATTACTGAGACAGACAGATATATAACAAAGGGGTGAGTTATGAATTACTGAGACAGCAGATATATAACAAAGGGGTGAGTTATGAATTACTGAGACAGCAGATATATAACAAAGGGGTGAGTTATGAATTACTGAGACAGCAGATATATAACAAAGGGGTGAGTTATGAATTATTGAGACAGCCAGATATATAACAAAGGGGTGAGTTATGAATTATTGAGACAGCCAGATATATAACAAAGGGGTAAGTTATGAATTACTGAGACAGCCAGATATATAACAAAGGGGTGAGTTATGAATTACTGAGACAGACAGATATATAACAAAGGGGTGAGTTATGAATTATTGAGACAGACAGATATATAACAAAGGGGTGAGTTATGAATTATTGAGACAGACAGATATATAACAAAGGGGTGAGTTATGAATTACTGAGACAGACAGATATATAACAAAGGGGTGAGTTATGAATTATTGAGACAGACAGATATATAACAAAGGGGTGAGTTATGAATTATTGAGACAGACAGATATATAACAAAGGGGTGAGTTATGAATTACTGAGACAGACAGATATATAACAAAGGGGTGAGTTATGAATTACTGAGACAGACAGATATATAACAAAGGGGTGAGTTATGAATTACTGAGACAGACAGATATATAACAAAGGGGTGAGTTATGAATTATTGAGACAGACAGATATATAACAAAGGGGTGAGTTATGAATTATTGAGACAGACAGATATATAACAAAGGGGTGAGTATGAATTACTGAGACAGACAGATATATAACAAAGGGGTGAGTTATGAATTATTGAGACAGACAGATATATAACAAAGGGGTGAGTTATGAATTATTGAGACAGACAGATATATAACAAAGGGGTGAGTTATGAATTATTGAGACAGACAGATATATAACAAAGGGGTGAGTTATGAATTATTGAGACAGACAGATATATAACAAAGGGGTGAGTTATGAATTATTGAGACAGACAGATATATAACAAAGGGGTGAGTTATGAATTATTGAGACAGACAGATATATAACAAAGGGGTGAGTTATGAATTATTGAGACAGACAGATATATAACCTATGTGTAATAGCTGTTCTTACTTACCTTTGTGTAATAACAGTGTTTATTTACCTGTTTGTAATAACAGTATTTATTTACCTGTTTGTAATAACAGTGTTTATTTACATGTTTGTAATAACAGTGTTTATTTACCTGTTTGTAATAACAGTATTTATTTACCTGTTTGTAATAACAGTATTTATTTACCTGTTTGGAATAACAGTGTTTATTTACCTGTTTGTAATAACAGTGTTTATTTACCTGTTTGTAATAACAGTGTTTATTTACCTGTTTGTAATAACAGTGTTTATTTACCTGTAATAACATTTATTTACCTGTTTGTAATATTTTATTTACCTGTTTGTAATAACAGTGTTTATTTACCTGTTTGTAATAACAGTGTTTATTTACCTGTTTGTAATAACAGTGTTTATTTACCTGTTTGTAATAACAGTGTTTATTTACCTGTTTGTAATAACAGTGTTTATTTACCTGTTTGTAATAAGTATTTATTTACCTGTTTGTAGTGTTTATTTACCTGTTTGTAATAAGTATTTATTTACCTGTTTGTAATAACAGTGTTTATTTACGTGTTTGTAATAACAGTGTTTATTTACCTGTTTGTAATAACAGTGTTTATTTACATGTTTGTAATAACAGTGTTTATTTACATGTTTGTACAGCCTGAGGGACATTGATGGACTTATTGTTTATGGTGAGCCTCTGATGTCCGTGGTTGGAATGGGATCTGACAGGTTCAACATATTCAGACTAGCAGACATTCTGACCAGTCGAGGATACAACCTAAACGCCCTTCAGTACCCAGACAGGTAAGTTTCTTTATAATATAAAGTAGTATGAATCATCTTTGGTTGAGAATTAAGTCAGTTAGGACATCTAACACTTGGTAATTGGAAACACAAATAGTGTTTGTTTTTATGATAGATATAATAAAATGAAGTGAGGATGTCCTGGGATTTTCTTTAAGCATTGTATACTGGTAATTTCACAGTGTGTAAGATGTTTAATGATAAGAATGATGAATTTTTGATTGGGTAGATATTTCATTGTACTCTTCATTTTCTGGTAAAAATGTATGAGAGTTGGTCTGACTTCCTTCCAGCCTACATCTATGTTGTACTCTGGTACACACTAAGGAGGGCGTGGCAGACAAGTTCCTCAGCGATGTACGTAATGCAGTAGAGGAGATTCTAGCTGATCCACAGGACCATGAGATTGGTGGCATGGTAGGAATGACTTAGTTTGAAGGAAGCTTCCTTTATCTGTGGCACAGATTTAAAGCTTAATTTTGAAACAATTGGAATTTTGTATTTTTAATGTCCAGGATTAATGAAGTTTTTGAAGAGTGTTGAAAATATTTGAAATTTAGATTCTAAGAAACATTGCTAAACATTTCAAAGAACTTAATCAAACAGTATAAATAAAAAATGAAAAATCCAGATCATTGCTAAATATGTCTGTTCTAGGGTGCCATATATGGCATGGCACAGAGTATCCCTGACAAAAAGATGGTTGGTGAGCTGGCTGGTTGTTACCTGGAGGCAGTGTACAGTACTAACAAGGAGTAAGGACACAGTATAAACAAAAGTGGCAGTGCTCAAGGACAGAATACAGATTAAATGATGTCTATGAAGAGAACCGAACAAATTTTGTAGGGCCAGGAAAGACTCGCCACTGTCTTTAGAGAAAAACAGATGAAGCACTAGAAAAAGAGAGACCTGAACTTCCTCTCTATGGAGAGTGCAGACCTTTGGATGTAAACAGATCAAGCATTTTCCATTGGGAAAGCACAGACTTCGCACTCGACTAACTGTAATAGAAGGCAGGCATTGTGCTGTCTATAGAAAGAAACTGATGTTGTAGTTGTAGAGAAAGCACAGACTTGGCATTATCCTTTGAGTGAGCACAGTACTTCCCAAATAGAGAATTTATACAGGCATTTTGTGAATGATTATGTATTTTAATATATTTTTATGTATTATTCCCTGCAGGTGCTGTCAACTGAATATGTGATAACACATTTTTCTGTGTGAAAAACCTGTGAGTTTGGTGATCATACAAGTAGTATTTGTGTGTTAACACATTTTCCTATGTGATAAGTTTGGTGAAAATAACACATGCAAAATACTTTTGACTATGTGTGAACAGAATTAAGATATTGTTAGATATTAATACTGATAATTGATGGTTTTGATTTTAAGGAACTTTAGATGTGATATTAGGAGATTTTTATATAATATTGTATCAGCTGTATGCTGGAGTAAGCCGCTCTTTAAAACGGAGCTTTAGGGGTCCAAGTAACACATTGTTTTTATTGTTTCTATTGAAAGACTTGTGTAAGTATTTATGTTTTATATTGTTACACATTTGGTGAATTTTACTAAAAAAAAATTTTGTGTTTCAAATCGGATATGTTTTAGATTTTATTTTTGGCTAAAGAAGATATTTGTATAAGGGAAAGTCTGTAGTGAAGCTTGTCTTTGTTACAATATTGATGGTAGTCTACTGTTCTGTCTACTGGTTTGTTTACAATGAAGTTGTACCGTACAGAGAAACAGTGATGAGAGACAACGACAATACATGATAAGAGAATTAGAGATGGTGAAATTTTGTTATACAGAGAATTAGTGATGACAAATATGTGATATCAAGAATTATTGACAGTGACTTTTTAGGAGAATTTGTGCCAATATAGCTGTGATTTATAGAGTAAAAAGATATTCACTCCCTATCATGTCAGACAGAAATCCAATTCATGAAGGCATATTTTTATTTTATTTTATTATTTTTTTTGAGGCTGGTGGTGAATGTAAGAGATAAAAACCAAAAGGACAGTTTAAGTAAATTTTGGATAGTCATTTTGCTGTCAGCAGATATATGTTCCATACTGTTTGGAAGTATGTCTGTAGAGAAAATCCTATAGACTACAAACATGTACCATACTGTGTGAAAGTATGTCTGCAGACAAAATCCTATAGACTACAAAACATGTACCATACTGTGTGAACGTATGTCTGTAGACAAAGTCCTATAGACTACAAAACATGTACCATACTGTGTGAACGTATGTCTGTAGATAAGTCCTGTTGGCCACAGTGTATTACCATACTGTGTGAACGTATGTCTGTAGATAAGTCCTGTGGGCCACAGTGTATTACCATACTGTGTGAACGTATGTCTGTAGATAAAGTCCTGTGGGCTACAGTGTATTACCATACTGTGTGAACGTATGTCTGTAGATAAAGTCCTGTGGGCCACAGTGTATTACCATACTGTGTGAACGTATGTCTGTAGATAAAGTCCTGTGGGCCACAGTGTATTACCATACTGTGTGAACGTATGTCTGTAGATAAAGTCCTGTGGGCCACAGTGTATTACCATACTGTGTGAACGTATGTCTGTACAGTGTATTACCATACTGTGTGAACGTATGTCTGTAATAAAGTCCTGTGGGCTACAGTGTATTACCATACTGTGTGAACGTATGTCTGTAGATAAAGTCCTGTGGGTAACAGTGTATTACCATACTGTGTGAACGTTTGACCCAGTTTAGCCTTTGTATACAGTTTATTTTGTTTAGAAGGATTTATTTTTTATTTAAAAGTGCTTATATTGTACACAAGACATTATAATACAGAAGCAATATATATAACTGCTTTAAACTGACTTTATATGTTTTAATATATTGAATTCATTGGGTGCATATCTTCAATACATTTATTCTAAAGTTATGTGTAGTCATAAAATGTACAGTTATATCTGTAGTGTGAGTGGACGGCCAAGATGATTTAATAATGAGCCAGTGTAGTACGAGTCGTTAGGAGTAACCCATTAATGCCTCAAGAAGTCCTAATTATTAACAAAAAAACACTAAATTAAAGGAATTTGTTTGTGTACTGCTGGGGCACTAACACTCACGAGGACATGGTCATTTTTTTTAGCTCATTACACTCAATCAGAAGGTTTGTATATGTCTGCTGGAATGTTTAAGTAGACAAAGAAGACATACATTTTCTTGATGTTGTTTGCCTGTTGTCTTATTCTGTGTTGAAATATATGATTATCTTTTTGTGGACTTACAATTTCTTGTTTCATTCCATATACATGAATTCTTTTGATTTGAATTGTTTCAATGTAAATTTTACATGATTTTTTTGTGCGGTAACTCTTTTTTATTATGAGAGTACCTGGTAGCTTTATAACATTACAACCTGTTTACAAGATACAAGGAATGCTTGATGTTTTGGTGAAAACCATCTGGTGACAAGCTATGTGATTGTTGGAGAGTTGTATATAAGAACAAGGTTACAGTACTGTTTAACAGTATCTTATGGTATTTCTTCCTCCCTAACAATGTAAAAACTGACAAGAAAGGAAAGCTACAACACGACCATAATACCACTCACCAAAGGGTTAAATGCTAGAGAACCAATGATAATAAATAGATGTTAAGTGGAAGTTGTGTTGATGAAGATGGCAGTGTAGATTCACAATGAATGGGTTGTTGTAAGATCTAATGTATTACATTGAAGGCTAATGTACACAGGTAACAAAGCTTATAAAAACAAAATGTTGATATTAAATTTAGATGATGATTATAGAACTATTTAATGTTTTACTTGAAAGACTATGTTTTTGCATGTATTTAAAAGAAGCACAAACAATGCAATAATAGAACTTGTGTGTGCTATTGGTGTGAGTTAGCACTGTTTGGACTGAAGCGTCAGTAGTATTGACATGCCCAGGCTGGATACCTGTGTGGGTTTCAGTCAGGAGAAATGGAGGCCAATCTGCTGTCAAATAACAGGGTGTATATTTAGTTTCTAGACATGTACGTTTGTACTTGAAAGAATAAAATGTTGTTCTAATTTTGAGTTGCTTGGTTTGTTTTTAAGTTTTTTTTTTCTGTTCCTTTGCTGTCATTTTCAGCCTCTTGAAATGTTTTTTTTTGGCAGCAACAGTACATGTTCTTGTTGTCACTGAATTATACTGTTTCTGTAAAGGCAGCTGAGGAGAGAGACTCCCATTTTGTCCTGAATACATGTATTACACATTCAGTATCAAGGAAATTGGGCTAACGGGAAGAACTGCCTAAACTGTGTTAATCAGTTGTGTAAAAATGAAGATATTGAACATGTGAATATCTCATATTGAAACCCCTGAAATAATTCTGGTGAGATGTGCCTAACTAAGTGCATCAAGATACTAAAACATATAAAATATGTAATTCTCCCTCCTCCCCTCATAGTTAAGGGATGTATAAAGTAGTCTATATATGCATGTCTGTCCTTGAATGCACACTTGGAGCCATAAAATTGCTTAATAAATCTCTTGTGAACACCTCTTCAGAATTATATTGATGATGAAGTCACATCGGGTTCTACATTGTTCAGTTACAACAATGGCTGAGTGGGTGAAGCATCAGATTTTATCAGGTGAAGAACCGAGGTGTCTTGTTCCGTCCCTACTTAGAGGTTTGTATTTCCTGGAAGAAAAGATTGTGGATCATCACATGCTGTTTTTTGTCCAGGGACAACTTTTTTTTTGTTCATTAGCAAAGGTAAAAGTTGAAAACAAAAAGATAAGATGGCATGGTATATCTGTATGAGCCCCTGTTTGCTGTGTTTATTTGCACATCAGGGAATCTTATCAGTCTTCTTGTATCATTATTTCCATCTTTCCATAATTGGGTTGAGCTTGTGTTGGGCGGGGATAAAAACATGTGGTGGATGATTGACAACTCACAAGGGCACTTTCACACTTAACATAAAACTAAAAAGTTCAATAAAAATATTTTATTGTACATTAATACATAGAATAACAGATAATAAAGATGTGGTCCTATCAGAAAGATATACATTGATTTAGAGGCACATTTATAATGTAAGCAGCACCAGAAGCTTTCTTACCTGGTATACCAAGTAAACACTGCAAGCTAGTGTAAACACCTCTAACAGAAAAACCAGACAGCTGTAACGACATAGTGAACACTGCAGGTACAGGTACAACACACAGGAGCTGTAACGACATAGTGAACACTGCAGGTACAGGTACAACACACAAGAACTGTAACGACATAGTGAACACTGCAGGTACAGGTACAACACACAGGAGCTGTAACGACATACTGAACACTGCAGGTACAGGTACAACACACAGGAGCTGTAACGACATACTGAACACTGCAGGTACAGGTACAACACACAGGAGCTGTAACGACATACTGAACACTGCAGGTACAGGTACAACACACAGGAGCTGTAACGACATCCTGAACACTGTAGGTACAGGTACAACACACAGGAGCTGTAACGACATACTGAACACTGCAGGTACAGGTACAACACACAGGAGCTGTAACGACATACTGAACACTGCAGGTACAGGTACAACACACAGGAGCTGTAACGACATACTGAACACTGCAGGTACAGGTACAACACACAGGAGCTGTAACGACATACTGAACACTGCAGGTACAGGTACAACACACAGGAGCTGTAACGACATACTGAACACTGCAGGTACAGGTACAACACACAGGAGCTGTAACGACATACTGAACACTGCAGGTACAGGTACAACACCCAGGAGCTGTAACGACATACTGAACACTGCAGGTACAGGTACAACACACAGGAGCTGTAACGACATACTGAACACTGCAGGTACAGGTACAACACACAGGAGCTGTAACGACATCCTGAACACTGCAGGTACAGGTACAACACACAGGAGCTGTAACGACATACTGAACACTGCAGGTACAGGTACAACACCCAGGAGCTGTAACGACATACTGAACACTGCAGGTACAACACACAGGAGCTGTAAAGACATACTGAACACTGCAGGTACAGGTACAACACACAGGAGCTGTAACTGTAAATACTACAGGTACCACACCCAGGAGCTGTAACTATGTAAATACAGCTGGTAGAGGTACCACACCCAGGAGTTGTATTTATGTAAATACTGCAGGTACAGGTATAACACCCAGGAGCTGTAACTATGTAAATACTGTAGGTACAGGTACAACACACAGGAGCTCTAACTATGTAAATACTACAGGTACAGGTACAACACCCAGGAGCTGTAACTATGTAAATACAGCTGGTACAGGTACCACACCCAGGAGCTGTAACTATGTAAATACTACAGGTACAGGTACAACACCCAGGAGCTGTAACTAAGTAAATACTACAGGTACAGGAACAGGTACAACACCAAGGAGCTGTAACTATGTAAATACTGCAGGTACAGGTATAACACCAGGAGCTGTAACTATGTAAATACTGTAGGTACAGGTACAACACACAGGAGCTGTAACTATGTAAATACTACAGGTACAGGTATAACACCCAGGAGCTGTAACTATGTAAATACTGTAGGTACAGGTACAACACACAGAGCTGTAACTATGTAAATACATCTGGTACAGGTACAACACCCAGGAGATGTAACTATGTAAATACTACAGGTACAGGAACAGGTACAACACCAAGGAGCTGTAACTACGTAAATACTGCAGGTACAGGTATAACACCCAGGAGCTGTAACTATGTAAATACTGTAGGTACAGGTACAACACACAGGAGCTGTAACTATGTAAATACTACAGGTACAACACCCAGGAGCTGTAACTATGTAAATACTGTAGGTACAGGTACAACACACGGAGCTGTAACTATGTAAATACATCTGGTACAGGTACAACACCCAGGAGCTGTAACTATGTAAATACTACAGGTACAGGAACAGGTACAACACCAAGGAGCTGTAACTATGTAAATATTGCAGGTACAGGTATAACACCCAGGAGCTGTAACTATGTAAATACTGTAGGTACAGGTACAACACCCAGGAGCTGTAACTATGTAAATACTGTAGGTACAGGTACAACACACAGGAGCTGTAACTATGTAAATACTACAGGTACAACACCCAGGAGCTGTAACTATGTAAATACTGCAGGTACAGGTACAACACACAGGAGCTGTAACTATGTAAATACTACAGGTACAACACCCAGGAGCTGTAACTATGTAAATACTGCAGGTACAGGTACAACACCCAGGAGCTGTAACTATGTAAATACTGCAGGTACAGGTACAACACCCAGGAGCTGTAACTATGTAAATACTACAGATACAGGTACAACACCCAGGAGCTGTAACTATGTAAATACTACAGATACAGGTACAACACCCAGGAGCTGTAACTATGTACATACAGTAAGTCAGACTGTGTTGTAGTGTATACCTGACATAAATCATTATATAATGTTTTACTCTGAAAATTATTTGGATGTTAGAACATGTACATGTGTCAGTATTATGTTCTATTTTCCTGACGAGTTAAGGAGTTTTTTGACATTATGATGGTCAGAAAAATAACTGTAAAATGATGAAGATATTTAATACAGTCAAATAGATACAATTCACTTAATTACAGTATATTTATTACAGTAAGACTAGTAAATGTAAAACAATTTTGAAATTACAAAATAATTCATTATTCTTGTATGACTTAAATACAGATATATGATCACTACTGTTTCATGCAATACATGACTTTTAGTATCTGTCCAACCCCTCCAAGACACCAGGGTTTGAGTTGATTCATATCTGTCCAACCCCTCCAAGACACCAGGGTTTGAGTTGGCTCATATCTGTCCAACCTCTCCAAGATACCAGGATTTGAGTTGGCTCATATCTGTCCAACCCCTCTAAGACACCAGGATTTGAGTTGACTCATATCTGTCCAACCTCTCCAAGATACCAGGATTTGAGTTGGCTCATATCTATCCAACCTCTCCAAGATACCTGGATTTGAGTTGGCTCATATCTGTCATACTCTCAGAGACAGAGCAGGGCTGGACCACACCTTTAAACCCCCATCGGAGATACAGGTATTTTGGGTTGGTCACTAACCCCCCAGGGTTATGGAGGTTCTGGCTGGTACATTTATTATACAATTTTGTTCTATATACCCACACATGTACTTACAAATAGATATATTACTCTACAAGGACTTGAATTAAGGATTACAATGTGGTAAGTGTTTAACAATATTTAATGTCTTTAATATAGGCTAATTAATTATAACAGATTTCTAATGAATTATAACAGTGAATCACCATATCCATGCCAAGCTTTACAAATGTGAGGCTAACAACAATATCCCAACAATAACCAGGAAAAACATGCACATTGTTTATGTACATAACATTAAATAAATGTAGAACACACTCTGTAATATTTCTTATCATGGCACAATCCAAATCTATTTCCTGAAGTACTACACAAGCTTTAAATCACAATACTTCAACTTGAGCACTTTCTCTAGTCCAATATCACTACAATTCACAGGAAGTTAATCTCAAGTCTGTTTTACAAACCTGAAGTCTGATTTAGAATAAAAAAAACAGTGAGATTTTAACAGCCCTATGGAGACAAATCTATATAAACATGATTTTTTGAGCAACTATACACACAAGTAAACATGTTTCTCTACCACTGAAGCTTGAGCAAACTGATCCCTCATCTTATTATTGGATTTCATCATTTTGGATAACAAACCTAAAAGGTGAATAGCTTGGGAATTAGTTCGTTATAATACAGGCATTAGGTTCTAGGTACTATAAGGTCATCCTCCAAAAATCTCAACTTTCTTCCAGCTGATGTGTTCCTCTAGCAAACTGTCGATTAAAATATCTGATAAAATTAAGTGATGTCTAGTATTGAAAAATGTCTGTTAACATTAGATTCATGTACCAGGTATACTTTAATTAAAAGTGAATTTCTCATATATGTAAAGTTATAAACATCTTTGGCTTGTGCAATTGTATATCTACATGTGCACCTTGCAGCACTGACTTTCTCAGAGACATCAGCTGAGGCGACGTGTATACAAAACAGAAGGTAGTTACCCTGAGAACTGTCTTTACTGGAATGTTTCTCTCAAAGACTTTAATTCCAAACCTGGTATTTTATAGAATTTTTACAAAATGAAAATATTAAATAAGAGATTAACCTCAATAGGTTACTCTGTATCAATTCTAACAATATTATAATGATTTCATAAATGTTATACATGTACTGTTAAAAAATCCTTGACCTCTATGGTGACCTTGACATAGTACAATATATCATGTAATATACATAGCCAATGTTTCCCAATTTTGTGACATAGTGTTTAAATTGACCTTAATGACTTTGAACTTTGCTCACATGATTCTGACCTTTCACCTATGACACATTTGATATCAATTGCAACAAAGTTAATGATGTGTATCATCATGCACTTAACCTTATATTATTTGGTCTTAGACCTTTTGTACTAAATCCTATCAATTTTTCACATTATGTAATAATACTGCTAAGAGGAATTGTCTCTCCTCACCTTTGACCTTGTCACTGCTCCATAGCAGTAATATAAACAAATGGAACCAAAGGGAAACCTGTGCATAAAATCTCACAAATATCTGTCCAATACTTTGGGATAGTGTGAAAACAAACCATAAAATAAACGATAAGCATCGGGTGTCTGGTTTCTCTAATAAGAACATCTTTGTAAACAGTGAACATTCTAGACAGACTACCACATAATTCTTCAGGAACTGATTAACTTTAACGTGGATTAACTATCGTGGGGTGACACATGCTTGTCAGTGGTACCTAACATGGGGTCAGACTGACTCACAATGTTATACTACACCTGGGCCACAGCAGCCTAATCAGTTCTCACTGAGTCATCGACTGTCAACATCAATATTGATTAGTGTGCTGGCCACTGGTCATTTCAAAGATAGAGCTACTGGACTTCATACTAGGTCAATTTGAGGAGAGAAATCTTTCCTCTCTGGATATGTGTATATATATCCCAGTCAGATTGAGGTCAACTTTAAAGTAAATTATTGTAATATAATTCATCAGCAAGATAGAAAGGACCTGTGTTTCCTTATAAAAGCACATTTCACACGTTAAATAATTACTGTACATGCACTCAATATTTCATTGCCCAAAAGAAAAAAAATCATTGTTGAACACAATTTACACATTTCAGCAGTCGAAGACCAAATAAAATTATATCAAAATTTCATATTGAAACGATACATTAGCACTCTTACAGAGAAAAGATGGACTGATTAAAAAACTGGATGAAAGGAGCTTGCCTGTAGGGAGAGGTGAACTTCTCTGTTAGCTGGAATGTTAAAAATCCTTGAGATTTAGTACTGGTCTATTAGGTTAGCAATGTTATGCTGTGTCAATTCTAGCCAACCATTACAGACTGCAGTTATTTTTTTGATGGTGTGTCGATAATCAAAGTAAAGAAACAACAATTATGAAGACGATGTAGCGAAAATGTTTTGTTATTAAGATATGAATTAACAAATAGACAATAATTACTGCAACTTTCAGGAGAGTGGATCAATGAACACCAGGAAACTGCTCTGGAAACAGGGAAGTTGACAAATATGGTAATGAAAACAAATGACCCAAAGGGCTTGTATTGCTCACCTAGATATTAATAAAACAATAGCAAATATATATGTATATACATCCATTTGGGGGCTGCACACAAAGAGATACAGCACACAAAGAGATACAGCACTTTTCCCTTTATATTATGTGATTCCTGATCCAAAGGACAAAACAGATATATTTCAAATGTAGCCAACTCATCAGAAGCAGTTCAGGTATCAAAGACTTCGACGCTATTAAAGTGTCCCTAATTTATAACTTTCCAGCGCACATTGGTCTTTAACCATACAAAAAACCTATAGACTTTGTTCAGACAAAGGATTGTAAATTTAGAGCCCTTACTATTACTGTGTTCAGACAAAGGATTGTAAATTTAGAGCCCTTACTATTACTGTGTTCAGACAAAGGATTGTAAATTTAGAGCCCTTACTATTACTGTGTTCAGACAAAGGATTGTAAATTTAGAGCCCTTACTATTACTGTGAGACTCTGGGGCCAGGGCAAGACATTTGTATAACCAATGCTGTTGTAGTGTGTTTAAGATTGAACATATAGACAACCTGCCTTTTGATACAGCAGATTCCCACCCAGATCTTCAGCTGGGCTCATAATTCTCACAAATAACATTATCACTTCATTATGGTAATGGCTTAAAAATTCTGAATATACTTAGTATAGAGTATTGAGTATTTCTTAAAAGGTTAAAAAGAGAAAACATTTAAAACGATTAGGAAAACCAAGGAAGTTAACCTCCAAAAATATTACACATGCTTCCCTTATATTTGACCAATTTCATGATAAAATGTAAGAGAAATAAAACTGTAACGTAGCACCAAATTACTGGGGCAAAAAACGTATATCACATGGCATAACAGCACACACACCATCTACATGAAACAAAGCATTTGTAGGCCACTAATCTGGAGTATTGAAAAATAAGCAGGACAAAATTCATACAAGACAAAATCGTGTGTATAAAAATGATCAAATTTAGAAATAATTTGTAAAACCGAGTCAGAACAGTTCTCCACTTTAAAATAATTCTAATGTTAATGCACAGTTACATGGTGATATTCAAGGGAAAACCCTTTGAGCAAGCAGTGATTTGCATATAACTTATAAAGTTAATTATAGATTTTGGCAAGAAATACAGAAGATCTCTCCAATGACATTAAATAACAAAGCATTAATATGTCATCGACTAAAAACAGCTTACTGTGCTTAACCAATTTATCACTAGGACTATTCATCTGTGATTGATTTCACTCTTATGTAACCACCCATCCAATTCTTATTGTACAGTGAATTATCTCCCCTTGAGAAGCTATCCACCCTACATTAACACATAATGTACAATGGATAACCTCTCCAGATACCACTTTACATCCTATATCTTACTGTACAATGGATTATCTCCCTTTCAGAAGCTATCCACCCTACATTAGCACATAATGTACAATGGTTAACCTCTCCAGATACCACTATACATCCTATATCTTACTGTACAATGAATCATCTCCCCTTGAGAAGCTATACGACCTACATTAGCACAAAATGTACAGTGGATAACCTCTCCTGATACAACTATATATCCTATATCTTACTGTACAATGAATTATCTCCCCTTGAAAAGCTATACAACCTACATTAGCACATAATGTACAGTGGATAACCTCTCCTGATACAACTATATATCCTATATCTTACTGTACAACGAATTATCTCCCCTTGAGAAGCTATACAACCTACATTAGCACATAATGTACAGTGGATAACCTCTCCTGATACAACTATATATCCTATATCTTACTGTACAATGGATTATCTCCCCTTGAGAAGCTATCCAACCTACATTAGCACATAATGTACAGTGGATAACCTCTCCTGATACCACTATACATCCTATATTTTATTGCTCAGTAGATAACCTCCATTAATACAACTAAATGAACGCATTTGGCTTCATTTGTTCAGACACTCTTAAAAATGTCAATTTTAACTAAAAATTACCTTCAAATAAACTGTATAAAACCAAATCCTGGTATGTGTAGTGTAAATGCTTACTTTACATGTTACTAGTGTTATAATGTCATAGTATTATAATGTACTAGTGTTACAATGTACTTGTATTACAACACACCAGCATTACAATGTTTTGCATCATCCTGTTGTTATGATTACAATGTACTTGTATTGCAATGTACTAGAGTTACAATTTAGTTCAAGTACAATGTATTGATATTAGAATTCATGGCACCTTGGACACGAATGTCCTGATATCATAGTTCTATAGAGGTCAGCTACTGACTATATCTATATAGATCTATAGAGGTCAGTTACTGACTATATCTATATAGATCTATAGAGGTCAGCTACTGTCTATATCTATATAGATCTATAGAGGTCAGTTACTGACTATATCTTTATAGTTCTATAGAGGTCAGCTACTGTCTATATCTTTATAGTTCTATAGAGGTCAGTTACTGACTATATCTATATAGATCTATAGAGGTCAGTTACTGACTATATCTTTATAGTTCTATAGAGGTCAGCTACTGTCTATATCTTTATAGTTCTATAGAGGTCAGTTACTGTCTATATCTTTATAGTTCTATAGAGGTCAGTTACTGTCTATATCTTTATAGTTCTATAGAGGTCAGTTACTGTCTATATCTTTATAGTTCTATAGAGGTCAGTTACTGTCTATATCTTTATAGTTCTATAGAGGTCAGTTACTGACTATATCTATATAGATCTATAGAGGTCAGTTACTGACTATATCTTTATAGTTCTATAGAGGTCAGTTACTGTCGATATCTTTATAGTTCTATAGAGGTCAGTTACTGTCTATATCTTTATAGTTCTATAGAGGTTAGCTACTGTCTATATCTTTATATATGTGAGTACCATTATTTCGTATCAATCTTGCCAAACTGTGTCTGATATTGCTGTAGCTCTGTCTGCAGTTCCATCACTCGCCTTACAGCATCATTTCTTGAATAACGTTCAGATTCAAGCTTTGCACAGAGATTTTTTATCTCATCTTTCTTCAATTTCTCCAGAGAAGTGACACGTTTTTCATACTTATCCTTCATAGTTTCCAGCTCTGATGACAGTGCCTTGATACAATTCTCATACTTTGACATCTTTACTTCATGTTTTTGTTTCATGTCATCAATTGTTTGATTCAGGTCTTTAACCTCCTGACGCAACCTTGACATGTTGTCATCCTCGTTCATGACATGTACTGTTTTTCTGGTCCATTGAGATTCATGATTCTGTATGTCCGCCCCATTCACTTTCAAAGAGTTCACATTGCGCTTAATACGACTTGATCTGTCAGGATTGTACAAAGTTGGAGAGGTGGGTGATGGAGGACATGGATCATTCTTAGCCCTTTCACTAACACGTCTACCTCGTTCTAGTTTACTCTTCCTTTTTGGGGCAATTGGTCTGTCGGTGTCAATATTATCATCACACATATTATCTGTGGAACTGACCGATTCCGAAGTTTTGTCGGACAGGTCACTGACAGGTGATAGATCATTATGTAGAGAGGAAAACACATCATTGTCAGCAAACTGAATGGTTTTGAGCTCCTCCAGCAGAGATGTGCGAATCAGAGGCTGACTTAGGCTATCTTCCCCCATCATAGGTTTGAGGATGTTACCAATATCTTTAGACTCTTCCTCTGGACTCAGATCGAGCAGTGTGTCCACAGGCACATGTGGGGGGCTCTCAGTTTGTTTGGTAAATATTCTATCTGGGTAGCAAATCATCATGTAAGCCAATTGTTGTGTGAGATCAGCCGTTGCCATCAGTAATTCAGGAGTGTTGACCTCTGATATATTGCGTAAAATATTAGGACCTAAAACAGTCCCTAAATTTAGAGGTGTCATCTTATTAATAGCTGATTTTTCACCTACATCATGGAAAAATGTACACAAATAATTCAGAGAGTTGTAATTTTCATCAGGAAGTTCTGATATAGCTGCACCAGCTTCCACCACAACTTCCATTTTGCTGTCAATATCTCGCGCATCTTGAAAATTCAAAGCAATATTCATGAACTTTTGATAACTCTGAGATGGAATGATGGAATCGGGAAGCTCCCTGAGGAACATCTTCACCAATGATGCCACAGAGTGGACATCTATCTCTGTTATATCAAACTTCACCGGTTCTGCACAGTCAAACTTTTCCTTGTAATCCTTGATCAAAGAGGTCCTACCAGCCAACCTGTCAAAATCATTAATCAGTAGTATGTCAGTTGTTCTATGTAAGTATAAATCAGACCAATATCATTGTCAACGGTTAACTACATCATCTGTGTGGTGTATTGTATCTGTGGTGTGGTGTATTGTATCAGTGGTGTATTGTATCTGTGGTGTGGTGTATTGTATCTGTGGTGTATTGTATCAGTGGTGTGGTGTATTGTATCTGTGGTGTATTGTATCTGTGGTGTGGTGTATTGTATCAGTGGTGTGGTGTATTGTATCTGTGGTGTATTGTATCAGTGGTGTATTGTATCTGTGGTGTGGTGTATTGTATCTGTGGTGTATTGTATCTGTGGTGTGGTGTATTGTATCAGTGGTATGGTGTATTGTATCTGTGGTGTATTGTATCAGTGGTGTATTGTATCTGTGGTGTGGTGTATTGTATCTGTGGTGTATTGTATCTGTGGTGTGGTGTATTGTATCAGTGGTGTGGTGTATTGTAAAAGTGGTGTGGTGTATTGTATCAGTGGTGTATTGTATCAGTGGTGTGGTGTATTGTATCAAAACTTCAACAGTTTGTGAAGTCTTTTCAACCTTTGTTTACCTGACGTTGACATTATGCTGAATTGTACTTGAAGATGCACCTACAAATAATTGCTTCTTATGGAAAAATAAGTCCAAACTTCAAAGGATACTAAAAGCAATTTTATGAAAGTGAATATGTAGAATTAATACATGTGCTAAAATACAGCTGTTTTCTGTCACTGCTAAATATATCAAAAAATCTATATGTGGCAGGCAATCTGACAATGGCAGCACCAGTTGCAGGATAAAACACAATGATCACCCTGTAACTTGTCTTTACCACCATCAGAAGGGTCACTTAGTTGTGATGTAAGTGACCACATTTACATCTAACAAATGATATTACCGGTAAAGGTTAAACACATGAAAATCTTGATCAATTTACCTTGTAGCACAGCTATATACATTCAACGTAGCACATGTTTGAAGACCTTAAGCTGTCATTTTTAGTGATGGGCAATGATTGGTTTAATGATTCTGAAAGCCAACATTATATCTTGGTGGTAAAAGCCATCATGTCATCTTCACATTATAAACTGGGTCATCCTCAGCAGGATTCAATCAAGACTGATGGCTTCGTACTTCAGCGAATGATCATACAGATGGACAGAAAACCAAACTCATGATCATACAGACTGATAAACAGAATCGTAATCACACAAAAGGACAGACAACCACACAAAAGGACAGACAACCAAACTCATGATCATACAGACTGATAACCAGGATCATAATCACACAAAAGGACAGACAACCACACAAAAGGACAGACAACCAAACTCATGATCATACAGACTGATAACCAGGATCATAATCACACAAAAGGACAGACAACCACACAAAAGGACATAATCACACAAAAGGACAGACAACCAAACTCATGATCATACAGACTGATAACCAGGATCATAATCACACAAAAGGACAGACAACCACACAAAAGGACAGACAACCAAACTCATGATCATACAGACTGATAACCAGGATCATAATCACACAAAAGGACAGACAACCAAACTCGTGATCATACAGACTGATAACCAGGATCATAATCACACAAAAGGACAGACAACCACACAAAAGGACAGACAACCACACAAAAGGACAGACAACCAAACTCGTGATCATACAGACTGATAACCAGGATCATAATCACACAAAAGGACAGACAACCACACAAAAGGACAGACAACCACACAAAAGGACAGACAACCAAACTCATGATTATAAGACTGATAACCAGGATCATAATCACACAAAAGGACAGACAACCACACAAAAGGACAGACAACCACACAAAAGGACAGACAACCACACAAAAGGACAGACAACCAAACTCATGATCATACAGACTGATAACCAGGATCATAATCACACAAAAGGACAGACAACCAAACTCGTGATCATACAGACTAATAACCAGGATCATATCACACAAAAGGACAGACAACCAAACTCGTGATCATACAGACTGATAACCAGGATCATAATCATACAAAAGGACAGACAACCACACGAAAGGACAGACAACCAAACTCATGATCATACAGACTGATAACCAGGATCATAATCACACAAAAGGACAGACAACCAAACTCGTGATCATACAGACTGATAACCACCAAACTCGTGATCATACAGACTGATAACCAGGATCATAATCATACAAAAGGACAGACAACCACACAAAAGGACAGACAACCAAACTCATGATCATACAGACTGATAACCAGGATCATAATCACACAAAAGGACAGACAACCAAACTCGTGATTATAAGACTGGAGAGACAACTTATATTTTGATAATAATAATGGTCAGACAACCAACCTTATGAACAGATTTGACTTAAGAAAAACATTTTTTTCTTTTGTTAACTGATGTGTAAACTGCATTTTTTTTTTTTCAATTTTTCAAATGACATTCAGTGCATCAAGTTGAAATATCTATTTAACATATCCAAGATGGTCAGCTGGAAGCCATTTTATTTTTTTCTGATCAGTCTCAAAATCTAATTGGCACAACAAGGGACCAAGGGGAACCTTCATATGAAATTTGAGAAAGATCCATTTTGTACTTCTCATGAAATAGCAATAACAAATATTGTTAATGGAGGGACATACCACAGACTAGGACAGCTGACAATAGAGGACAGACTAAAGGTGATTTGAATAGTTCTACCCATTCCCACCATCTGATGATGGTGGGTAAAAAAAGAAAAAATTATCTGTTATATTTACATTATGAAAGTATTTTTTCCCATTTACGCTCCCTAAAACTCCACGATTGCCAGCTTGACAACTGATGGAATAGCAACACAGTAAGATTACAATACGATTAATTATACAAAGCAAATTCATAAAATTGATGAATTAGAACTTATTTTTACAAATGTACAGCTTGATGTAAATATTTAATGTTTTGTAAATTGTATTGACCAGAACCCTAATATATGCATTGTAATATCCTCAAGTATTGAAACTAAATCATGGAATAAGTTGTAAACCTGATAAAGAAGGAGGTTAAGCACACAAACCTAAAGATGCCTTCTGCTTCCATTCCATACTGCCGTAAAAATTCCACACTGTGGGTTATGATGTAAGGGACTCTACGACAGTACTTTCTCTCATATGCCATGGTGTCCTGTAGACTCTGCCCAAAAATAGCTGAAAATGAAGATGAGTGTTATTCAGTTCCACTATCAAGAAATTTACCTTGATGTAACCAGGTATGCAAAACTCAATACACTCGACCCATAAAGGTCTATGATTCCTTTGCTTGATATAACCAGGCACACAAGACTTTATACACTCCATCCATAGAGGTCTATGATACATAGTATAACAAGTTGTCCAGCCCCTCCCCATTTGGCCACTCCCATCTGGCCACTCCCATCTGGCCACTCCCGTTTGACCACCTCCCATTTGACCACCTCCCATTTGACCACGCCCCATTTCACCACATCCCGTTTGACCACCTCCCATTTGACCATCTCCCATTTGACCACCTCCCATTTGACCACATCCCATTTGACCACCCCCCATTTGACCACCCTTCACTTGACCACCACCATTTTGACCATCCTCCATTTGACCAACCCCATTTGACCACCTCCCATTTGACCCCCCCACCCCCCATTTGACCAGCTCCCATTTGACCCCCCAACCCCCCATTTGACCACCTCCCATGAGCACCTCCCATTTGACCACCCCCCCTCCATTTGACCCCCCCCCCCCCATTTGACCAGCTCCCATTTGACCACCTCCCATGAGCACCTCCCATTTGTCCACCCCCCATTTGACCCCCCCATTTGACCGCCTCCCATTTGACCCTCCACTTCCCCATTTGACCAGACCCCTCCCGATTTGACCGCCTCCCATTTGACTCTCCCCCTCCCCATTTGACCCCCCACCCCCCATTTGACCAGCTCCCATTTGACCCCCCAACCCCCCATTTGACCACCTCCCATGAGCACCTCCCATTTGACCACCCCCCCCTCCATTTGACCACCCCCCATTTGACCAGCTCCCATTTGACCACCTCCCATGAGCACCTCCCATTTGTCCACCCCCCATTTGACCCCCCCCCCCATTTGACCGCTCCCATTTGACCCTCCACTTCCACATTTGACCAGACCCCTCCCGATTTGACCGCCTCCCATTTGACTCTCCCCCTCCCCATTTGACCCTCCCCCTCCCCATTTGACCAGACCCCTCCCGATTTGACCAGCCCCCATTTGACCATGCCTTATTTGACCCCCCCCCCCATTTGACCGCCTCCCATTTGACCCTCCCCCTCCCCATTTGACCCTCCCCCTCCCCATTTGACCACGCCCCCATTTGAATTCCTAATTATCCCTGAACATTAATGCTGTCATCTTTTAATTGTTCAACAATCATTTTGTGTTCATAAACTCTAACTTACCTCCTCCAAATGGTGCATGCATAATCTTGCGAAGGGCCTTGATCCATGTGTCTCTTTCTTCTGCAGTTGCAGCCCATAATAAAAATGTATCATGGTTAGGTGTCATCTTGGATTGGACTGGTCCTAAACAGATTAAAAAAATGAATTTATATAGTAAAAACGATTAGAAAAGAAAAGTTGGCATTCAGGTGTACACTGTTCCAGTGACATCACTGTCACAGAGTAAAACATGGGATAACGCCAATATTCCAACTGCATCATAGCAACAGGGCAAACACAGGCTAACTGATGTCCTCTGTTCAGGTGGTAGTACAGCCACAGGGCAACACAGGCTAACTTATGTCCTCTGTTCAAGTGGCAGTACAGACACAGGAAAAACACAGACTAACTTATGTCCTCTGTTCAAGTGGTAGAACAGACACAGGGCAAACACAGACTAACTTATGTCCTCTGTTCAGGTGGTAGCACAGCCACAGGGCAAACACAGACTAACTTATGTCCTCTGTTCAGGTGGCAGTACAGCCACAGGTTAAACACAGACTAACTTATGTCCTCTGTTCAAGTGGCAGTACAGCCACAGGGCAAACACAGACTAACTTATGTCCTCTGTTCAAGTGGTAGTACAGACACAGGGCAAACACAGACTAACTTATGTCCTCTGTTCAGGTGGCAGTACAGCCACAGGTTAAACACAGACTAACTTATGTCCTCTGTTCAAGTGGCAGTACAGCCACAGGGCAAACACAGACTAACTTATGTCCTCTGTTCAAGTGGTAGTACAGACACAGGGCAAACACAGACTAACTTATGTCCTCTGTTCAAGTGGCAGTACAGCCACAGGGCAAACACAGACTAACTTATGTCCTCTGTTCAGGTGGCAGTACAGCCACAGGACAAACACAGACTAACTTATGTCCTCTGTTCAGGTGGCAGGACAGCCACAGGGCAAACACAGACTAACTTATGTCCTCTGTTCAGGTGGCAGTACAGCCACAGGGCAAACACAGACTAACTTATGTCCTCTGTTCAGGTGGCAGGACAGCCACAGGGCAAACACAGACTAACTTATGTCCTCTGTTCAAGTGGCAGTACAGCCACAGGGCAAACACAGACTAACTTATGTCCTCTGTTCAGGTGGCAGGACAGCCACAGGGCAAACACAGACTAACTTATGTCCTCTGTTCAGGTGGCAGTACAGACACAGGGCAAACACAGACTAACTTATGTCCTCTGTTCAGGTGGCAGTACAGCCACAGGGAAAACACAGACTAACTTATGTCCTCTGTTCAAGTGGTAGAACAGACACAGGGCAAACACAGACTAACTTATGTCCTCTGTTCAGGTGGCAGGACAGCCACAGGGCAAACACAGACTAACTTATGTCCTCCGTTCAAGTGGTAGTACAGACACAGGGCAAACACAGACTAACTTATGTCCTCTGTTCAGGTGGTAGCACAGCCACAGGGCAAACACAGACTAACTTATGTCCTCTGTTCAGGTGGCAGTACAGACACAGGGCAAACACAGACTAACTTATGTCCTCTGTTCAGGTGGCAGTACAGCCACAGGGCAAACACAGACTAACTTATGTCCTCTGTTCAAGTGGCAGTACAGCCACAGGGCAAACACAGACTAAATTATGTCCTCTGTTCAGGTGGCAGTACAGCCACAGGGCAAACACAGACTAACTTACGTCCTCTGTTCAGGTGGCTGTACAGCCACAGGCCAAACACGGACTAGCTTATGTCCTCTGTTCAGGTGGCAGTACTGCCACAGGGCAAACACAGACTAACTTATGTCCTCTGTTCAAGTGGCAGGACAGCCACAGGGCAAACACAGACTAACTTATGTCCTCTGTTCAAGTGGCAGTACAGCCACAGGGCAAACACAGACTAACTTATGTCCTCTGTTCAGGTGGCAGAACAGCCACAGGGCAAACACAGACTAACTTATGTCCTCTGTTCAGGTGGCAGGACAGCCACAGGGCAAACACAGACTAACTTATGTCCTCTGTTCAGGTGGTAGCACAGCCACAGGGCAAACACAGACTAACTTATGTCCTCTGTTCAGGTGGCAGTACAGCCACAGGGCAAACACAGACTAACTTATGTCCTCTGTTCAGGTGGCAGGACAGCCACAGGGCAAACACAGACTAACTTATGTCCTCTGTTCAAGTGGCAGTACAGCCACAGGGCAAACACAGACTAACTTATGTCCTCTGTTCAGGTGGCAGGACAGCCACAGGGCAAACACAGACTAACTTATGTCCTCTGTTCAGGTGGCAGTACAGACACAGGGCAAACACAGACTAACTTATGTCCTCTGTTCAGGTGGCAGTACAGCCACAGGGCAAACACAGACTAACTTATGTCCTCTGTTCAAGTGGCAGTACAGCCACAGGGCAAACACAGACTAACTTATGTCCTCTGTTCAGGTGGCAGTACAGCCACAGGGCAAACACAGACTAACTTACGTCCTCTGTTCAGGTGGCAGTACAGCCACAGGCCAAACACGGACTAACTTATGTCCTCTGTTCAGGTGGCAGTACTGCCACAGGGCAAACACAGACTTACTTATGTCCTCTGTTCAAGTGGTAGTACAGACACAGGGCAAACACAGACTAACTTATGTCCTCTGTTCAAGTGGTAGTACAGACACAGGGCAAACACAGACTAACTTATGTCCTCTGTTCAGGTGGCAGTACAGACACAGGGCAAACACAGACTAACTTATGTCCTCTGTTCAGGTGGCAGTACAGACACAGGGCAAACACAGACTAACTTATGTCCTCTGTTCAGGTGGCAGTACAGCCACAGGGCAAACACAGACTAACTTATGTCCTCTGTTCAAGTGGCAGTACAGCCACAGGGCAAACACAGACTAAATTATGTCCTCTGTTCAGGTGGCAGTACAGCCACAGGGCAAACACAGACTAACTTATGTCCTCTGTTCAGGTGGCAGTACAGCCACAGGGCAAACACAGACTAACTTATGTCCTCTGTTCAGGTGGCAGTACAGCCACAGGGCAAACACAGACTAACTTATGTCCTCTGTTCAGGTGGCAGTACAGCCACAGGGCAAACACAGACTAACTTATGTCCTCTGTTCAGGTGGCAGTACAGCCACAGGGCAAACACAGACTAACTTATGTCCTCTGTTCAGGTGGCAGGACAGCCACAGGGCAAACACAGGGCAGGTGGCAACAGCACAGACTAACTTATGTCCTCTGTTCAGGTGGCAGTACAGACACAGGGCAAACACAGACTAACTTATGTCCTCTGTTCAGGTGGCAGTAGGTGGCAGCAGCCACAGGGCAAACACAGACTAACTTATGTCCTCTGTTCAGGTGGCAGTACAGACACAGGGCAAACACAGACTAACTTATGTCCTCTGTTCAGGTGGCAGTACAGACACAGGGCAAACACAGACTAACTTATGTCCTCTGTTCAGGTGGCACAGTAACAGCCACAGGGGCAAACACAGACTAACTTATGTCCTCTGTTCAGGTGGCATTACAGCCACAGGGCAAACACAGACTAACTTATGTCCTCTGTTCAGGTGGCAGTACAGCCACAGGGCAAACACAGACTAACTTATGTCCTCTGTTCAGGTGGCAGGACAGCCACAGGGCAAACACAGACTAACTTATGTCCTCTGTTCAGGTGGCAGTACAGACACAGGGCAAACACAGACTAACTTATGTCCTCTGTTCAGGTGGCAGTACAGACACAGGGCAAACACAGACTAACTTATGTCCTCTGTTCAGGTGGCAGTACAGACACGGCAAACACAGACTAACTTATGGCAGGTGGCACAGCCACAGGGCAAACACAGACTAACTTATGTCCTCTGTTCAGGTGGCAGTACAGACACAGGGCAAACACAGACTAACTTATGTCCTCTGTTCAGGTGGCAGTACAGCCACAGGGCAAACACAGACTAACTTATGTCCTCTGTTCAGGTGGCAGTACAGCCACAGGGCAAACACAGACTAACTTATGTCCTCTGTTCAGGTGGCAGTACAGCCACAGGGCAAACACAGACTAAATTATGTCCTCTTGTTCAGGTGGCAGTACAGCCACAGGGCAAACACAGACTAACTTATGTCCTCTGTTCAGGTGGCAGTACAGCCACAGGGCAAACACAGACTAACTTATGTCCTCTGTTCAGGTGGCAATACAGCCACAGGGCAAACACAGACTAAATTATGTCCTCTGTTCAGGTGGCAGGACAGCCACAGGGCAAACACAGACTAACTTCCTAACAGGATATGTTTAAGAATTATGTGACAGTGAACTTACATGTATATAAATCCTTCCTCTCATATATATTAAAACCCAAATACAGAAACTTAAAACAAACGACTGAATGCCATGATCCAAATCCTGTTTGATACCAAGAACAATAAACAACATCCATTTTAACAAAAGTTTGTGAAGAATGTCAATACAACCATAGGCAAAACATACAATAATGTAACATTTACTTGTGCTAGAAACTGAGTGACTGGCTAGGACTTTATAACAGCAGACATTTACAGTCTGTTAAATCATTGTCAGTGAAAATGCAGACATTAAGTAAAAACTTGCATGGATTAATGTTGGAACAAGAGAACTGAGAGCCATCTTTTTGACCATCAAGGAAAAATGTTTATGCTGATACATTTATATAGAGGTTTTTTCTTATTTCTTCTCATTGTTAAGGAACATAAATGAACAAGCTCTAAGAGGATCATGTAAAGAAAATCACATTTTTTGGACAATTTGTTTGATGTTTATCCATCTTATAATAAAGAAATCACCAATATACAAAAAATATATGAAAAGTTTTGTCGTGTTCCTTTCAGTAATTTTACACAAAAACAAACTTCACATGCAGTATTCATACAAATTACGAGCTAAGGTGACAGTTAGTTGTTCTTCCAAATGGGCTGAATCTAAAGCCATCTGACACAGCTAGGAACAAGTTGTTGTGCCTTCCACGTCTTTCAATTCCATCTCAAACTAAAGTGTAAATGACAATAGCTATCAAACCTACCAAATTTCACCCTTAATCTGGATACATCCAAACAGACAGTTTTCTAAAGGACTGCATTTGAAGGTGAAATACAAAGTGACTAAGGT